GTCCCGAGCCGTCCCGAGCCGTCCCGAGACTTACCGAGCTGTTACCGCGTTGTTACCGGGCCGTCCCGACCCGTCCCGAGCTTTACCGGGATGTCACCGCGCTGTTACCGAACGGAACCGGGCCGTACCGAGCTTTACCGGGCCGTACCGAGACGTACCGGGCCGTACCGAGCTTTACCAGGCCGTTCCGAGCCGTACCGAGCTGTTACCGGGCCGCACCGAGCCGTACCGCGCTGTTACCGGGATATTACCGGGCTGTCACCGACCCGTCCCGCTCCGTTCCCAGCCGTCCCGGGCCCACCCCTCACGCACTCTCCGCTCCGCGCCGGGCACTTCCGGCTGCGCTCCTCAGGCTCCGCCCCTTCCTCCCCCTCCCCGCGCCTCGAGCTGATTGGCCCAGGCGCGGTGAGGGGGCGGAGACTTTTCCCCTCGGCCCGCCCCTCCCGGTAGCGTTCGCGCCCCCTGGCGGCGCCGCAGAGCGGTGACCAACGGCAGCCCATGGCAACGGCAGCCCATAGCAACGGCGGCGCCATGGCAACGGCAGCCCATAGCAACGGCGGCGCCATGGCAACGGCAGCGCCATGGCAACGGGGGCTCTGGCGACGTGTTTCCATGGCAACGGGGCACATTGCGGCGAGGGCTCCATGGCAACGGGTGCATGGCAACGGGGTCCTTAGCAACGAGGTCCTTAGCAACAGGGTCCTTAGCAATGGGGTTCCCCATGGCGGTGGGCTCCATAGCAACGGCGTTCAGAGCGTCTGTCTCCATAGAAACGGGCTTCAAAATGATGGGGGGCTCATGGCAACGGGGTCCATGGCAACGGGGGACAATGGCAACGGGGGTCCATGGCAACGGGATTCCATAGCAACTGAGTGCTCCTCTCCATCACTCTGTGTCCCCATGGCGGTGGCAGTGTCCCCATCCCTGTCCCCACGGTGTCACCATAGGGGTGGCAGTGTCCCCATCCCTGTCCCTGTGTCCCCATGGCGGTGGCAGTGTCCCCATCACTGTCCCCATGGTGGTGGCAGTGTCCCCCTCTCTGTCCCTGTGTCCCCAAGGCGGTGGCAGTGTCCCCATCCCTGTCCCCATCCCTGTCCCTGTGTCCCTATGGCGGTGGCAGTGTCCCCATCACTGTCCCCAAGGTGGTGGCAGTGTCCCCATCCCTGTCCCCATCACTGTCCCCATGGTGGTGGCAGTGTCCCCATCCCTGTCCCTGTGTCCCCATGGCAGTGGCAGTGTCCCCATCCCTGTCCCCGTGTCCCCATGGTGGTGGCAGTGTCCCCATCCCTGTCCCTGTGTCCCCATGGCAGTGGCAGTGTCCCCATCCCTGTCCCCATCCCTGTCCCCATCCCTGTCACCATCCCTGTCCCCATGGCGGTGGCAGTGTCCCCATCCCTGTCCCCATCCCTGTCACCATCACTGTCCCCAAAGGCAGTGGCAATGTCCCCATCCCTGTCCCTGTGTCCCCAAGGCAGTGGCAGTGTCCCCATCCCTGTCCCCATCCCTGTCCCCATCCCTGTCCCCATCACTGTCACCATAGGGGTGGCAGTGTCCCCATCCCTGTCCCCATCCCTGTCCCCATCCCTGTCCCCATCCCTGTCCCCATCACTGTCACCACAGGGGTGGCAGTGTCCCCATCCCTGTCCCTGTGTCCCCATGGCAGTGGCAGTGTCCCCATCACTGTCACCATGGTGGTGGCAGTGTCCCCATCCCTGTCCCCATCCCTGTCCCCATCCCTGTCCCCATCACTGTCACCATCCCGCAGCCCCAGCAGGTGCCACCGCGGTGGCCTCTGATCGGGCCCTGCAGGTGGCACCGCCTGATCACAGGGACGCGATAATGAAGCCACCGCTGTGCCACCACCGTGTCACCGCTGCCATTGCAGTGTCACCATGTCCCCAGTGCCACCTCCGTGTCCCCAATGCCACTGCCGTGTCCCCACGGCTGCGTGTGCCACCGCACGGCCTGGCCTGGCCACGGGGGACACTGGGGACACAGAGGGGACAGTGATGGGGACACAGAGGGGACAGTGATGAGGACACAGAGGGGACACAGAGGGGACAGTGATGGGGACACAGGGGGGACAGGGGGACCTGGCAGCCTTTGGGGACACCGGGACAGGGATGGTGACACCCAGGAGAGCCGTGCCCAGGTGTGAGGCCGTGCCCAGGTGTGCCCAGATGTGCCCAGCTGTGCCCAGGTGTGTCCCCATCCCACTGTCCCCATCCCTCCCAGGTGTGCGTTTGTGCCCAGGTGTGCCCAGATGTGCCCAGGTGTGTCCCCACCCCCCATTGCTGCTCCCCGCCGGTACCGGAGGTGGGGGTGGGGGTGATCCCGGTGTCGCCCCGCCCCCCGCAGCCCCTCCCCCTCCCCCCCCTTCTCGCGGTGTCCCGGTGGCCCCGGGGGCGGCACCGCCAGGGCCGCGTGCGCGGGGGACAAAAGCGACACTGGGGACAAAGGGCGGTGACGTCAGCGGGGGCTGGGGGGGGCACCCGTGACCCAGATGGGCCTTGGGGGGAGGGGGGGAGGGAGGGGACAGGGGCTGGGGGGGAGGGGACAGGGTCAGTGTCCCCAAATTGGGGAGGGGACACAGGGTCAGTGTCCCCAAATTGGGGGGGGACGGGACAGGGTCAGTGTCCCCAAATTGGGGGGGACGGAACAGGGTCAGTGTCCCCAAATTGGGGGGGGGGGACAGGGTCAGTGTCCCCAAATTGGGGGAGAGGGGAAACTGAGGCAGCGGGGGGGGGCACGCACTGATTAAAGGGCGGCGATTAATTAATGGTAATTAAAGGCGGGGTGGGGGGGGGGAGTTCAAGGTATTTGGGGGGTCAGGAGGAGGAGGAGGAGGAGGAGGGAGAGGGGAGAGGAGGAAGGTCCCGGTTTTTGGGGAGGGGGAAAAGGAGGAGGAGGAGGAGAAGGAGGAGGAGGAGGAGGAAGGTCCTGGGTTTTGGGGAGGAAGAGGAGGAGGAGGAAGGTCCAGAGCACTTTGGGGAAGGGGAAGAGGAGGAAGGTCCCGGTTTTTGGGAGGAGGAGGAGGAAGGTCCGGTTTTTGGGGAGGGGGAAAAGGAGGACGAGGAGGAGGAGGATAAAGGGGGAGGAAGGTCCCGGTTTTTGGGGAGGAGGAGGAGGAGGAGGAGGAGGAGGAAAAGGGGGAGGAAGGTCCCGGTTTTTGGGGAGGGGGAAGAGGAGGAAAAGGGGGAGGAAGGTCCCGGTTTTTGGGGAGGAGGAGGAGGAGGAAGGTCCGGTTTTTGGGGAAGGGAAGAGGAGGAAGAGGAGGAAGGTCCCGGTTTTTGGGGAAGGGGAAGAGGAGGAAGGTCCCGGTTTTTGGGGAAGGGGAAGAGGAGCAAGGTCCCGGTTTTTGGGGAGGAGGAGGAGGAAGAGGAGGAGGAAAAGGGGGAGGAAGGTCCCGGTTTTTGGGAGGGGGAAGAGGAGGAAAAGGGGGAGGAAGGTCCCGGTTTTTGGGGAGGGGGAAGAGGAGGAGGAAGAGGAGGAGGAGGAGGAGGAAGGTCCCGGTTTTTGGGGAAGGGAAGAGGAGGAAGGTCCCGGTTTTTGGGGAGGAGGAAAAGGGGGAGGAAGGTCCCGGTTTTTGAGGAGGAAAAGGGGGAGGAAGGTCCCGGTTTTTGGGGAAGGGGAAGAGGAGGAGGAAGAGGAGGAGGAAAAGGGGGAGGAAGGTCCCGTTTTTGGGAGGGGGGGGTGGGAATAAGGAGGAGGAGGAGGAGGAGGAGGAGGAGGAGGAGGAGGAAGGTCCCGTCCGGGGGGGTGGCCAGCAGGAGGAGGAGGAGGAGGAGGAGCAGCAGCAGCAGCAGCCGCCGCGCGAGCTCTGCCGCAGCCCGGCCCCATGGGCCCCCCCGCCCCGCTGCTGCCGGGGGGCTGACGGCGACCCCCGCGACCCCCGGGGGGGGGCACCGTCCCCACCCCCCACAGCCGCCGCCGCCTTTTTATTTTCTTCTAATTTTTGAATTTTTTTTTTAATTTTTTTTCCCCCCTCTCCTTTTGGATTTTTGGGATTTTTTTTTGGGGGGGGGGGGATTTTTTAACCTTTTTTCCCCCCTCCCTCCCTCGCCGCAACCTCACGGATGCTCCGGGCCGGGATGAGCTGAGGGTGAAAACCCCCCCGGATTTTTTTATTTTTAAATTTTTTTTAAATTTTTTTTTTTTTTTCTCCCCCCCCCGCTCCTTTTCCTCTCCTTTTTCGCCCCAAATTCCCGCAACCCCCTCCCAGGGAGGGGGGGACACCACGAGAACCGCAGCGCCGGGACCCCCGCACGCCGCTCCGGGGGCACCGCAACCAACGGAGCCGCCCCCCCCCAAAAAAAAACCACCGGAGCACCGCAGCGGGGGGGGCTCGGCCCTCCCGGTCACCGGGACCCCCCCCCAACCCCCGGAACCGGAACCGGCACCGGAACCGGGACCCCGCGAGAGCTGCAGCGCCAGGACTCCCCCCGCTCCCTCCGGGGCACCGGGACCCCCCCGCACCGGGAGCCGCAGCAGCGTCGGAGACCCCGGTTCCACCGGGGGGGGGGGGGCGGCGGCGGGGGAGCCCCCCCTCCGTTACCGGATTGCACACGGAGAGAGAAGAAGAGAGGAAGAGGAGGAAGAGGAGGAGAGACCCCCCCCTCATTTCGGGGCAGCGCAGCGAACATAGACCCCCCCCCATTTTTTACACCGGGGGTGTCCGTCCGTCCGTCCGTCCGTCCGTCCCCATCCGCACCGCTCCGCGCGGGGGGGGCCGCACCGGAGGATGCTCGGGGCTCGCCCCGCTCGTCCCTGAGCCGACCACGGACTCCCCCCTCGCCGGGACCGGAGCAGCTTTTATTTCATTATTATTATAATTTTTATTAATTTTTTCCCTTTTTTTTTTTTGGGGGCGGGGGGGGGGGGGTCCCATGGGATGTGATGAGCTCCTGCCCGGTACCGGCCCCACCACCACCGGCAGCAGCAGCGGCAGCATCAGCAGCGTGACCCCCCCGCGGTGCCCCCCCGGGCACGGGCGCGCAGGGATGGCTCGGTTCGGAGACGACCTCGCTCCTTCGGGCCGCTACGGCCCCGGCGGCCCCGGCGGCAGCGGCGGCAGCGGCGGCCCCGGGACGGCGGCGGGCGGGGGTCGCGGCGGCGGGGGGGCCCTCGGCCCGGTGCCCCCCCCCGGGGCCCAGCGGCTCTACAAACAATCCATGGCCCAGCGCGCCCGCACCATGGCCCTGTACAACCCCATCCCGGTGCGCCAGAACTGCCTCACCGTCAACCGCTCGCTCTTCCTCTTCAGCGAGGACAACGTGGTGAGGAAATACGCCAAAAAGATCACCGAATGGCCATATCCTTCCTGCGGGGACCCCGCAGCCCCGCCGCGCACCGGGGCCGCCCGGCCTGGGACACGGCAACGGGGAGCCCCCGGCCCAGCCCCCGGCGCGGAGCTCCGGCCGCTTTTGGGGTCGCCCTGTGCTCTGCTGGGGTGCCCGGCTCCGTTTTGGGGTGCCCGGCTCCGTTTTGGGTCATCCTGTCCTGCATGAGCTCCTCAGCCCCGTTTTGGGGTAACCCTGTCCTGCATTGGGGTGCCCGGCTCCGTTTTGGGGTGCCCGGGTCTGTTTTGGGTCATCCTGTCCTGCATGAGCTCCTCAGCCCCGTTTTGGTGTCTCCATGTCCTGCATTGGGGTGCCCGGCCCATTTTGGGGTGCCCGGCTCCGTTTTGGGGTGCCCGGGTCTGTTTTGGGTCACCCTGTCCTGCATGAGCTCCTCAGCCCCGTTTTGGGGTAACCCTGTCCTGTATTGGGGTGCCCGGGCCCGTTTTGGGGTCTCCAGGCCCGTTTTTGGGGTGCCCGGGTCCGTTTTGGGTCCTCAACCCCGTTTTGGGGTCACCCTGTCCTGCATGAGCTCCTCAGCCCCGTTTTGGGGTCTCCATGTCCTACATTGGGGTGCCCGGCCCCATTTGGGGTCCCCAACCCCATATTTTGGCTCTCCGTGTCCTGCATGAGCTCCTCGGCCCCATTTCGGGATACCCAGCCCCGTTTTGGGGTGCCCAGCCCCATTTTGGGATCCCCAGCCCCATTTTGGGGTCTCCATGTCCTGCATTGGAGTCCCCAGCCCCATTTTGGGGTGCCCAGGCCCGTTTTGAGGTCACCCTGTCCTGCATGAGCTCCTTGGCCCCATTTTGGGGTCTCCATATTCTGCATTGGGTTCCCAGCCCCATTTTGGGGTTCCCAGCCCCATTTTGGGGTCCTCAGCTCCGTATTGGGGTCACCCTGTCCTGCATGAGCTCCCCAGCCCCATTTTGGGGTCCCCAGCCCCATTTTGGGGTCCCCGGCCCCGTTTTGGGGTTCCCAATCCCACGGCTCCATCCCCTGACCTGTTTTGGGTCCCCCAAGCTCTGACCTCCCTCGGGGTCCCCATTTTCCCGCCCCAATCCGGGGTCCCCGTTCCGCCCGTGCCCGAATCGGGGTCACCGGCCCTGGCCTGGGTCACCCTGTCCTGCACCGGGGCCCCCGAGCCCATTTTGGGGTCCCCGAGCCCATTTTGGGGTCCCCGATCCCCTTTTTGGGATCCCCGGCCCCATTTTGGGGTCCCCAGCCCCATTTTGGGGTCCCAAGCCCCACATTGGGGTCCCCATCCCGTGTCCTGCATGGGGGACCCCAATTCCCTCCCCTTTTTTGGGATCCTGAACCCCCTTTTTGCGGCTATTTTGCGGCTATTTTCGGTTATTTTGGGTTATTTTGGGCTATTTTGGGTTATTTTGGGGGACTGCAGCCTCCCCCTGCTGCTCTTGGGGTCCCTCCGAGCCCCTTCCCCCTTTTTCTGCCCCCTAAAACACCCGACCCCAAAAACGCCCCCCTCACCCCAAAAGGACCCCCCAGCCATCCCAAAACGGCCCCTGGCACCCCACAAACGGCTCCTGATGGTTTTGGGGGGATCCCACGCGGTTTTAGGGGAGTCCCTGTGCGGTTTTTGGGGGGATCCCTGTGCGGTTTTGGGGGATCCCTGTGCGGTTTTGGGGGGTCCCTGTGCGGTTTTGGGGGGGTCCCCGTGCGGTTTTGGGGGGGTTCCCGTGCGGTTTTAGGGGTCCCCATGTGGTTTTAGGGGGGTCCCCGTGCGGTTTTGGGGGGGATCCCACGCGGTTTTGGGGGGGTCCCCGTGCGGTTTTAGGGGTCCCCGTGAGGTTTTGGGGGTCCCCATGCGGTTTTGGGGGTCCCCGTGCGGTTTAGGGGGGGTCCCCGTGCGGTTTTGGGGGGTCCCTGTGCGGTTTTGGGGGGGTTCCCGTGCGGTTTTGGGGGGGTCCCTGTGCGGTTTTAGGGGTCCCCGTGCGGTTTTCGGGGGGTTCCCGTGCGGTTTTGGGGGGGTCCCCGTGCGGTTTTGGGGGGGTTCCCGTGCGGTTTGGGGGGGTCCCCGTGAGGTTTTGGGGGGGTCCCCGTGCGGTTTTGGGGGCGTCTCCTCCCCCACCAGTTTTTGGGCCCCCCCAGCCCCCGGGGCTGCGGTTTCGGGGGTCCCGGGGGTGCCTTTTGGGGGTCGCGGCCGCTGCCGCAGCGGGGCCGGGCCGGTGACGGCAGCTCCGGTTCCCCCCCCGCTCTCCGGTACCGGGGCTGGGGGGGTCGCGGCGGGGCCCGGGGGGGTCCGGGGGTCTCGGGGGGTCCCGGGGGGGGTCCGGGGGTCTCGGTGGGGGTGGGGGGGGGTGGGTGATGCATCGCCCCCCCCCCGCCCGGTGCGGGTCCCATCCTGCGGCACGCGGAGCCTCCCACGCCGGTGCCGGTGCCGGGGGCGGCGGCGGCGGCAGCCGGGGCTCGGTCCCGGTCCCGCGGCGCCCCAAAAATCCGTGCCCGGGGTGGGGAGGGGGGGAACCCCCCGGGTTGGGTTTGGGGCGCTGAGCGCCCCGCGGGTGGGAGGTTGGGCCGGGCCGGGCCGTGCTGAGCCGGGCTGGGCTGTGCTGGGCTGTGCTGCATCGCCGCCCTCTGCTGCTGCTGCTGCCGCTGCTGCCCGGGAACCGGGAACCGGGAACGGGGACGGGATGGGGCCGGGAACCGGGAACCGGGAACGGGGACGGGATGGGCCGGGAACCGGTACCGGGAGCTGTGCTGGGCCGGATCCCGGTACTGGGAGCTGTGCTGGGCTGGATTCCGGTACCGGGAGCATCCTGGAGCTGTGCTGGGCCGGGAACCGGTACCGGGACCATCCCGGAGCTGTCCTGGGCCAGATCCCAGTACCGGGACCATCCTGGAGCTGTGCTGGGCCAGATCCCGGTACCGGGAGCATCCTGGAGCTGTCCTGGGCCGGATCCCGGTACCGGGACCATCCTGGAGCTGTGCTGGGCCAGATCCCGGTACTGGAACCATCCCGGAGCTGTCCTGGGCCGGATCCCGGTACCGGGACCATCCGGAGCTGTCCTGGGCCGGATCCCGGTACCGGGACCATCCTGGAGCTGTGCTGGGCCAGAATCCAGCCCCGCATGGCCGGGATGTGCCGGAGCCATGCCAGGCCAGTTCCCGGTACCGGAACCATCCTGGAGCTGTCCTGGGCCGGATCCCGGTACCGGGAGCTGTGCTGGGTACCTGGGCTGTGCCAGGGAGCCGTGCTGGGCTGGGATCCGGTACCGGGAGCCATCCCAGAGCCCTGGGCCGTGCCAGACCCGGTCCCGGTACCGGATGGCCAGGGTGTGCCAGGGAACCTGGGCCGTGCCAGGAGCTGGGCTGGATCCTGGTACCGGGAACCGTGTTGGGCACCCGGGGCTGTGCCAGGGAACTGGGTCAGATCCCGGTACCGGGAACCGTGCTGGGCACCGGGGCTGTGCCAGGGAGCTGTGCTGGGCCGGGATCCGGTACCGGATGGCCGGGATGTGCCAGGGAACCGGGCCGGATCCCGGTACCGGGAGCTGTGCCGTGCCAGGGAACCCCGCGGGATGCCCGGCTGTGCCAGGGAGCCGTGCTGGGCACCCGGGCTGTGCCAGGGAACTGGGTCAGATCCCGGTACCGGGAACCGTGCTGGGCACCGGGGCTGTGCCAGGCCAGATCCCGGTACCGGATGGCCGGGATGTGCCAGGGAACTGGGTCAGATCCCGGTACCAGGAGCCGTGCTGGGCACCCGGGCCGTGCCAGGGAGCGGTGCCAGGCTGAGTCCCAGTACCGGGAGCTGTGCCAGGGAACCGTGCTGGGCTGGATCCCGGTACCGGTACCAATGCTGGGTACCCAGGCTGTGCCAGGGAACCGTGCTGGGCCAGATCCCGGTACTGGGAACTGTCCTGGATCCCTGGGCTGTGCCAGGGAACCGTGCTGGGCCGGATCCCGGTACCGGTACCAATGCTGGGTACCCAGGCTGTGCCAGGGAACCGTGCTGGGCCGGATCCTGGTACCGGTACCAATGCTGGGTACCAGGACAATGCCAGGGAGTGGTGCCAGGCTAGATCCTGGTACTGGGAACTGTCCTGGATCCCTGGGCTGTGCCAGGGAACCGTGCTGGGTACCTGGGCTGTGCCAGGGAGCTGCACCAGGCCAGATCCCGGTACCGGTACCAATGCTGGGTACTCAGGCCATGCCAGGGAGCGGTGCCAGGCCAGATCCCGGTACCGGTGCCCATGCTGGGTGCCCGTGCTGTGCCAGGGATCCGTGCTGGCCCAGATAACGGCCCCGGAAGCCGCATTGTACCGGGGGCAGCGAGCGGTGCCGGGTGCCTGGGCTGTGCCAGGGAGCTGCACTGGGCCAGATCCCGGTACCGGTACCAATGCTGGGTACCCAGGCTGTGCCAGGGAACCGTGCTGGGCCAGATCCTGGTACCAGTGCCCATGCTGGGTACCCGTGCTGTGCCAGGGAGCTGTGCTGGGCCAGATCCCGGTACCGGGAACTGTCCTGGATCCCTGGGCTGTTCCAGGGAACCTTGCTGGGTACCCGGGCTGTGCCAGGGAGCTGCACCAGGCCAGATCTCGGTACCGGTACCAATGCTGGGTACTCAGGCCATGCCAGGGAGCTGCACCAGGCCAGATCCCGGTACCGGTACCAATGCTGGGTACCAGGACAATGCCAGGGAGCTGTGCTGGGTCAGATCCCAGTACCGGTACCAATGCTGGGTACCAGGACAATGCCAGGGAGCTTCACCGGGCCGTGTCCCAGCCCCGGGAGCCGCATTGTACCGGGGGCAGCGAGCGGTGCCGGGTGCCCGTTCCGTGCCAGGGCAGCAGCAGCAGCGGCCGCTCCCCGTGCCAGGGCCGTGCCCGGTGCCCGCTTCCCGTGCCAGGCCGCAGTGCCCGCCTGTCCAGCTGGCCCGGGCCATGTGGAGGCCGGAGATGCCTGTGGGGCACCTGGGCCGTGCCAGGCTGGGCACCCGCAGCCCCATCCCTGCGTGGGGACACGGGACAGGGGGACACGGGGGACACGGGACAGGGGACACGGGACAGGGGGACACAGGACAGGCGGACACGGGCGCGTCCCCGCCACCCCCGCGGGTTCCAGCGGCTCCCGGTGCCCGCGGCGGCTCCCGCTGTGCCCGGAGCGCTTTGATGGCGGGGCCGCGGAGCCGCCGCTTTGATTGAGGGAATTCATTCATTAATTAATTAACACCATGGCGCCGACCCCGAGGGCGCCTCGGGCGCCTCGGCCCCGCCCCCGCTTCGGGCTCCGCTCGTGCCTCAGTTTCCCCCGCACCCAGCGCGGTTTGGGGCCGCCCCCGGCCCCGTTTTGTGCTCCGCTCGTGCCTCAGTTTCCCCAGAGCCCAGCGCGGTTTTGGGGAGGTCCCCCCGGCCCCGTTTCCCGTGTTTTGGCCTTGACTCGCCCCCCACTCCTTTTGAATACATGATTTTAGCCACCATCATCGCCAACTGCATCGTCCTGGCCCTGGAGCAGCACCTGCCCGACGAGGACAAGACCCCCATGTCGGAGCGGCTGGTGAGGGGGCCGGGGGTCCCTGTCCCCATTGGGGGTCCTGGGGAGGGTCCCTGTCCCCCCCTTGGGGCTCCATGGGCACCTCTGGGGGTCCTGGGGAGGGTCCCTGTCCCACCTTGGGGGTCCTGGGGGGTCCTGGGAGGGTCCCCACCACCCCTGGGAGTCCTGGAAGGTCCTAGGGGGTCCTGGGGAGGGTCCCTGTCCCCTTTGGGGGTCCTGGGGAGGGTCCCTGTCCCCTTTGAGGGTCCTGGGGAGGGTCCCTGCCCCCTTTGGGGTCTCCCACGACCTTTGCTGGGCGTCCCTTGGGGTCCCCCCCGCCACCCCCGGGGGTCCCCTCGCGTGTCCCCAGCCCGCCGAGGGGGTCCCTCCCCAGCAGGGCCCGTTCCCCACCGTTCCCCGTTCCCCGTTCCCCACCGTTCCCCGTTCCCCGTTCCCCGTCCCAGTTTCCTCCTTGCCGGGAATCGGGGCCGCGCCGCCTCCACCGGGGGGGAGGGACAGCGTGGGGGGGGGGGAGGGGACAGGGACAGAGTGGGGGGGGTGTGGGGGTCTCCTGACCCTTGTGCCCCCTCCCCAGGACGACACGGAGCCGTATTTCATCGGCATCTTCTGCTTCGAGGCGGGGATCAAAATCATCGCGCTGGGCTTCGCCTTCCACAAAGGCTCCTACCTGCGCAACGGCTGGAACGTCATGGACTTCGTGGTGGTGCTCACGGGGTGAGGGGCACGACCGGGGACACCTGGGGACACCTGGGGACACCCGGGGACACCTGGGGACACCTGGGGGCAGCGGGGGATGCGGGGGGGTGCGGCCGTTTGGGGAGGAACGCGCGGCGTTTGAACGGGGCTGGGACCTCCCCGTTCCCTCCTGTCCCCTCCCCTCCTCACCTGTGTCCCACCTGTGTCCCACCCGTGTCCCCCCCCCCGTGTCCCACCTGTGTCCCCCCCCCGTGTCCCCCCCGTGTCCCGTTCAGGTGTGGGGGTGCGGGGACCCCTCCCCTTTTCCTTTCCCCACCTGTGCCCCCCCTCTCCCGTGCCCCCCCCTCGGCGCTGTCGCCGCTGTCGCCGCTGTCCCGTGTCCCCCCCCGGCGCTGTCACTTCCCTGTCCCCGCGGTGTCACTCAGAGCGCGGGGCCGGCGCTCGCTGCTGCTGCAGCTCTGGGCAAAACCCCCCCGGTTCCAAAACCCCTCCGGGCTCCAAAACCTCCCCAGGCTCCAAAACCCCTCTGGTTCCAAAACCTCCCCCGGTTCCAAAACCTCCCCAGGCTCCAAAATCTCCCGGTTCCAAAATCCCCCTGGTTCCAAAACCCCCCCAGCTCCAAAATCCCCCCTGGTTCAAAATCCCCCTGGTTCCAAACCCCCCCGGTTCCAAAACTCCCCTGGTTCCAAACCCCCCTGGTTCCAAAACCTCCCCAGGCTCCAAAATCCCCCTGGTTCCAAAACCCCCCCGATTCCAAAACCCCCCCGGCTCCAAATGCCCCTGGTTCCGAACCCCCCCGGCTCCAAAATCTCCCCCGGCTCCAAAACCCCCCCGGCTCCAAAATCCCCCGGTTCCAAAATCCCCCCGGTTCCAAAACCCCCCCGGCTCCAAAATCCCCCGGTTCCAAAATCCCCCAGCTCCAAAACCCCCCCTGGATATGGGACCACCACCCCAGGGACCCTCCCCAGTTCCTGGGAGGGTTTTGGGGGTCCCTGAGGGAGTTTTGGGGTCCCTGAGGGAGTTTTGGGGTTCCCGGGGAGGTTTTGGGGGTCCCTGAGGGAGTTTTGGGGTTCCTGAGGGGGGGGGTTTGGGGGTCCCTGAGGGAGTTTTGGGGGTCCCCGGGGAGGTTTTGGGGTCCCGGGGTGGTTTTGGGGGTCCCTGGGGTATCCAGCCCTGACCTCAATGTGGGGGTGTATGGGGGGGGGGGGTGTTGCTGTCTGACCACCCCCCCGGTTGCCATGGCAACAGGCGACCCCTCCTCATCACCGGGGCTACCCCCGAACACCCCCGGGGTACACCCGGGACCCCTCCCCGTTTTTTCGGTTCCCCCCGGGTTCGGCGGGGCCGGTGCTGCCCCCGAGCCCCGGGGCTGCCACCGGAGCTGGCAGCGGCCGCCGGCGGCGACATCGCCCGGAAAAGGCCAAAAATAGCAAAAAAATGGCCCCGGGGAGCGCCGCCCCCGCCCGCGGCACCGGCGGCACCGGCGCGGAGAGCGGGGGGGGGGGCGCGGGGGCGGGCGCCGGTGGCCACGGGGCTGGGACCGTGTGACAGGGACACGGGGGGAGCTGGTGGCGGCCACGTGTGACAGAGATTTGGGGGCTCGTGGCCGTGTGGCAGAGATTTGGGGCTTGTGGCTGTGTGACAGGGACACTGGGAGGGTCCTGGTGGTGGCCTTGGGGCTGGGACCGTGGGACAAAGATTTGGGGGTTCGTGGCCGTGTGACAAAGATTTGGGGCTCGTGGTGGCCTCGGGGCTGGTGGTTTTGTGACAAGGACACGGGGAGGGTCCTGGTGGCCTCGGGGCTAGTGGCCATGGGACAAAGATTTGGGGGTCTCATGGCCGTGTGACAAAGATTTGGGGGTTTGTGGCTGTGTGACAAAGATTTGGGGACTTGTGGTGGCCATGGGTTCGTGGTTGTGTGACAGGGACAGGGGAAGGTCCTGGTGGCTTCGGGGCTGGTGGCCATGGGACAGAAATTTGGGGCTCTTGATGGCCACAGGCTCATGGCTGTGTGACAAAGATTTGGGGGTTTGTGGTGGCCTTGGGCTCGTGGGTGTGTGACAAAGATTTGGGGGCTCTTGGTGGCCATGAGCTCGTGGCCGAGTGACAAAGATTTGGTGGCTTTGTGGCAGAGATTTGGGGCTCCTGGTGGCCAGGGGCTGGTGGCTTTGACAAACATTTGGGGGTTTGTGGTGGCCACGGGCTGGTGGCCGAGTGACAAAGGTTTGGGGGACCCTGGTGGCCGCAGGCTCGTGGTTGTGATGAATTTTTTGGGGGGCTGTGGTGGCCATGGCCTGGTGGCCCCATAACAAGGACGCAGGCGCTTGTGGCAGCTGTCACCAGGTGGCCACGGGCTCACGGTGGCCGTGGTGGCTCTCGGTAGCCACAGTGCCCCGTTTGGGGGTCCCTGGGGTGTTTGGGTGTCCGTGGCCCCTCTTGGTGGCCCCATTTGGGGGTCTCCATTTGGGGGTCCCCATTTGGGGGTCTCCATTTGGGGGTCCCTGGGATGTTTTGGTGTCTGTGGCCCCTCTCAGTGGCCCCATTTGGGGTCCCCATTTGGGGGTCCCCTTTTGGGGGTCCCCATTTGCGGGTCCCCTTTTGGGGGTCCCCATTAGGGTTAGGGTTAGGGTTTGGGGGTCCCTGAGATGTCTCAGTGGCCGTGGCCCCTCTCAGTGGCCCCATTTGGGGGTTCCCATTTGGGGGTCCCCATTTGGGGGTCCCTGGGATGTTTGGGTGTCTGTGGCCCCTCTCAGTGGCCCCGTTTGAGGGGGTCCCCATTTGGGGGTCCCCATTAGGGTTAGGGTTAGGGTTTGGGGGTCCCTGGGATGTTTGGGTGTCCGTGGCCCCTCTCGGTGGCCCCGTTTGGGGGTCCCTGGGACATTTCACTGTCTGTAGCCCCTCGGTAGCCCCAGTGGCCCCGTTTGGGGTCCCCATTTGGGGTCCCCGTGGCCACCGAGCTCTGTCCCCCCCTGTCCCTGCAGCATCCTGGCCTCGGTGGGCTCCCAGTTCGACCTGCGGACGCTGCGGGCCGTGCGCGTGCTGCGGCCCCTCAAGCTGGTCTCGGGGATCCCAAGTGAGTCTGGGGGCTTTGGGGGGCTCCTGGGCTTGGGCTTGGGGGTCCCCTGAGGGGCTGGTGGGTGATCAGGGGCTGCCAAATCCTTCAAATCCCCGAAAAAACTACCCCAAAACCCCCCCTAAACCGCCTCAAACAGCCTAAAACCCATCCCAAATCCCCTCAAAATCCCCCCAAACCACCTCAAATATCACAAAACCACCCCAGATATCCCAAAGCCACCCCAGATATCCCAAAGCCACCCCAAACCCCCTCAAAAATCTCCTAAATCCCCCTCCAACCGCCCTAAAACCACCGCAAATCCCCCCAAATCCCCCTAAACCTCCCTCAAACATCCCAAACCACCCCAAATCCCCTCAAAATCCCCAGGTGTCCCCAAAACCCACCCCGAATGCCCTCCAAGCCCCCCAAAGCCACCCCAAATCCCCTCTCAGGTCTGTAGGTGGTACTGAAGTCCATCATGAAGGAGATGATCCAAACCCCCCCAAAACACCCCCAAATCCCCCTAAAACCCCCTCAAACATCCCCAAACCATCCCAAATCCCCTGGAATCCCCCAAAACCACCCCAAAATCCCCTAAAAGCCCCCAAATGCCCTCTCAGGTCTGCAGGTGGTGCTGAAGTCCATCATGAGGGCGATGATCCAAACCCCCCTAAACCACCCCAAATCCCCCTCGAATCCCCCCAAAACCACCCCAAATCCCCCTAAAACCCCCTCAAACATCCCCAAACCATCCCAAATCCCCTGGAACCCCCCCCAAAAACGCCCCCAAACGCCCTCTCAGGTCTGCAGGTGGTGCTGAAGTCCATCATGAAGGCGATGATCCAAACCCGCCCCAAACCATCCCAAACCATCCCAAATCCCCTGGAATCCCCCCAAAACCACCCCAAATCCCCTCGAACCCCCCCAAAACCACCCCAAATCCCCTGGAACTCCCCAAAAACGCCCCCAAATCCCCTCTCAGGTCTGCAGGTGGTGCTGAAGTCCATCATGAAGGCGATGATCCCGCTGCTGCAGATCGGGCTCCTGCTCTTCTTCGCGATCCTCATCTTCGCCATCATCGGCCTGGAGTTCTACATGGGCAAATTCCACACCACCTGCTTCGACCTGGTCACAGGTGGGGTGGCAACCCCCCAAAAAAAAAACGGCCCCTAAATCCCCCAAACAGCCCCAAAAAAAAGCCCCCCAAAAATACCCCAAAAAACACCTCAAAAATACCCCAAAAACTGCCAAAAAAACGGCCCCCAAATCACCTAAACCCCCCTAAAACACCTCAAATTCCACACCACCTGCTTCGACCTGGTCACAGGTGGGGTGGCAACCCCCCAAAAGAACGGCCCCTAAATCCCCCAAACAGCCCCCCAAAAAAACCCCCAAAATACCCCAAAAAACACCTCAAAAATACCTCAAAAAATACCCCAAAAACTGCCAAAAAAACGGCCCCCAAATCAACCTAAACCCCCCTAAAACCCCCCAAAAATACCTCAAAAACCAGCCCAAGAACCCCCCCAAAAACCAGCCCCCAAACCCCCCAAAACCCCCCAAAAAACCATCCCAAATTCCCTCTAATCCCCAAAAATCTTCCCCCAAAACCCCCAAATCCCCCCGTCCCGCGGCCAGCGCTGCATTTGGAGCGTCCTAATTGCGGCTGTCCCTTGATGAGGCCCTTAATTAATTGGCCGTTAATTGGCCGTTAATTGGCCGCGGTTATTTCTGGCCTTGCCCTGCGGCGTGGGGGGGGGGTCCTGGGGACATTTTGGGGGGGGTTTGGGGACATGGGGGGGGGGGAGGTTTTGGGGGGACACGAGGGGGTCCTGGGGATATGGGGGGGGTCTGGGGACATGGGGGGGGTCTGGGGACATTTGGGGGGGGTGTGGGCATATGGGGGGGGTCTTGGGGACACCAGGGGAGGCTCATGGGGACATTTTGGGGGGGGTCCTGGGGACATTTTGGGGGGGTCCTGGGGACATTGAGGGAGTCCTGGGGAGGGGTCCTGAGCACATGGGGGGGGTCTGGGGACACCTGGGGGGTCCTGGGGACACTGGGGGGGTTTGGGGACATTTGGGGGGGGGTCTGGGCATATGGGGGGGGTCTTGGGGACACCGGGGGAGGCTCATGGGGACATTTGGGGGGGGGGTCTTGGACACACTGGGGGGGTCCTGGGGATATGGGGGGGGTCCTGGGGATACCTGGGGGGGCTCTGGGGATACCTGGGGGGTTCTGGGGATATGGGGGGGTCCTGGGGGTATGGGGGGGGGTCCTGGGGATACCCGGGAGGGCTCTGGGGATACCTGGGGGGGTTCTGAGGATACCTGGGGGGTTCTGGGGATATGGGGGGGTCCTGAGTATATGGGGGGGGTCCTGGGGATACCTGGGGGGGTTCTGGGGATATTGGGGGGGGGTTCCGGGGATACCTGGGGGATTTTGAAGATACCTGGGGGGGTTCCGGGGATACCGGGGGGATTTTGGGGATACCTGGGGGGGGTCAGGGGATACCGGGGGGATTTTGGGGATACCGGGGGGATTTTGGGGATACCGGGGGGATTTTGGGGATACCCGGGGGGGTTCCGAGGATACCGGGGGGATTTTGGGGATACCCGGGGGGGGTCAGGGGATAGGGGGGGGGGTCAGGGGATACCGGGGGGATTTTGAGGATACCTGGGGGGGTTCCGGGGATACCGGGGGGATTTTGAGGATACCTGGGGGGGGTTCCGGGGATACCGGGGGGATTTTGGGGATACCCGGGGGGGTTCCGGGGATACCGGGGGGATTTTGGGGATACCCGGGGGGGGTCAGGGGATACCGGGGGGATTTTGGGGATACCCGGGGGGGGGTCAGGGCACACGGGGCAGGGGGTTCAGAGCCCGAGCCCCCCCCCGTCCCCAGACGAGATCAAGGTGGAGGTCCCGTGCGGGACGGACGAGCCGGCGCGGATCTGCCCCAACGGCACCAAGTGCAAGAAGTACTGGGAGGGGCCCAACTACGGCATCACGCAGTTCGACAACATCCTCTTCGCCGTGCTCACCGTCTTCCAGTGCATCACCATGGAAGGCTGGACCGACCTCCTCTACTATGTGAGCGCGCCCGGTGCCTGCCGGTGCTGCCCGGTGCCTCCCGGTGTCCCCCCGGTGCCTCCTGGTGCTGCCCGGTGTCCCCCCGGTGCTGCCTGGGCTGCTCCTTTCCCCACCTGGTGTCCCCCCCCCGGTACTGCTCGGTGCCTCCCGGGCTGCTCCTTGCCCTGCCCAGTGTCCCCCGGTGCCTCCCGGTGCTGCCCAGTGCCCGTCCGGTGCCTCCCGGTGTCCCCCCGGTGCCGCCCGGGCTGCTCCTTGCCCTGCCCGGTGTCCCCCCGGTGCCTCCCGGTGCCTCCCGGTGCCTCCCGGGCTGCTCCTTTCCCTGCCCAGTGCCCGTCCGGTGCCATCCGGTGCCCGTCTGGTGCCTCCCGGGCTGCTCCTTGCCCTGCCCAGTGTCCCCCGGTGCTGCCCAGTGTCCCCCGGTGCCACCCGGTGCCTCCCGGTGTCCCCCCGGTGCCGCCCGGGCTGCTCCTTGCCCTGCCCGGTGTCCTCCTGGTGGCTCCTGGTGTGCTCCTTTCCCTGCCCGGTGCCTCCCGGTGCTGCCCGGTGCTGCCCAGTGCCCGTCCGGTGCCTCCCGGTGTCCCCCCGGTGCCACCCGGGCTGCTCCTTGCCCTGCCCAGTGTCCTCCTGGTGGCTCCTGGTGTGCTCCTTTCCCCACCTGGTGTCCCCCCGGTACTGCCCGGTGCTGCCCGGTGCTGCTCCTTGCTCTGCCCGGTGCTGCCCGGTGCCATCCGGTGCCTCCCAGGCTGCTCCTTGCCCCACCCGGTGCCTCCCGGTGCCATCCAGTCCTGCCCGGTGTCCTCCTGGTGGCTCCTGGTGTGCTCCTTGCCCTGCCCGGTGCCTCCCGGTGTCCCCCCAGTGCCTCCCGGTGCCATCCAGTCCTGCCCAGTGTCCCCCCGGTGCCTCCTGGTGTGCTCCTTGCCCTGCCCGGTGCTGCCCGGTGCCTCTCCGGTGCCATCCAGTGCCCTCCTTTCCCCTCCCGGGGCCCTCCTTGCCCTGCCCGGTGCCTCCCGGTGCCCATCCAGTGCCTCCCGGTGCTGCCCGGTGCTCCCCAGTGCCTCCCAGTGCTGCCCAGGCTGCTCCTTTCCCCATCCGGTGCCTCCCGGTGCCTCCCGGGCCCTCCTTTCCCCACCCGGTGCCTCCCGGTGCCCTCCCGGTGCTGCCCGGTGCCTCCCGGTTCCCTCCTTTCCCCATCCGGTGCCTCCCGGTGCCTCCCGGGCTGCTCCTTTCCCCTCCCGGTGCTGCCCGGTGCCTCTCAATGCCCATCCGGTGCCTCCCGGTGCTGCCCGGTGCCCTCAGCTCCCTCCTTTCCCCACCCGGTGCCCCCCAGATCCCCCCCTTCAGGACCCCCCGGTGCCCCCCGTGTGTCCCCCCCCCGCCCCTCCCCGGTCATGGAATCCCCCCCAATTTGTGAGACCCCCCCCCCAAATTTTTGGGATCACCCACAGGACCCCCCCCCCCCCTAATTCATGGGAGCCCCCCTGGGTTGATTGGACCCCCCCCAATTTTTGGGGGACCGCCCCCAATTTCCTGTCCCCCCCCCCCCCCCGGCTCATGTGACCCCCCCCAATTTTTTTGGGACCCCCCCCCCAATTTTTTGGGACCCCCTCCCCCAATTTTTTGGGACCCCCCCCCCAATTTTTTGGGACCCCCCTCCCCAATTTTTACCCCCGCCTCCCCCCAATCATTTTCTTTCTCCCCCCCCACCTCAATTTTTTCTCCCACCCCCAATTTTTAGGACACCCCCCCAAAAAAAAAATTTTTGGGCTGCTCCCTAATTGGGGGGACCCCCCCCCTCCCAATTCATGGGACCCCCTCCCCAATTTTGGAACCCCCCCAATTTCCCATCCCTCCCCCCAATTTCTTGTCCCTGCCCCAATTTTTGGGACCCCCCCAATTTTTTGTCCCCTCCCCAATTTTTGAGACCCCACCCCAATTTTTAGGACCCCCCCCTCCTCAATTTTTGGGACCCCCTCCCCAATTTCCCGTGTCCCCCCCAGAGCAACGACGCCTCAGGGAACACTTGGAACTGGCTCTACTTCATCCCCCTCATCATCATCGGCTCCTTTTTTATGCTCAACCTCGTGCTGGGGGTCCTGTCCGGGTCAGCGCCTCGGGGGGGGGTCCCGGGGGGCTTTGGGGAGGGGTCCTGAGATTTGGGGGGGCTCTGGGAGGGTTTTGAGGGGGTTTGAGGGGGATTTGGGGGGGGTTTTGAGGGTTATTTAGGGGTTTTTGGGAGGTTTTGGGGGGGATTTGGGGGGTCCTGTCCCGGTCAGGGTCGGGGGGGGGGGAGGTCCCGGGATTTGGGGAGGGGGTCTCGGGATTTGGGGGGGGTCTCTGGGAGTTTTTTGAGGAGGATTTGGGGGGGGGTTTTGAGGAGGATTTGGGGGGCGTTTGGGGGGTTCAGAGGAGTTTTGGGGGAGCTTTGAGGGGGTTTCGAGGGGATTTGGGGGGTTCTGGGGGATTTGGGGGGCTCGGAGGGGTCTGGGGGGGTTCAGGGTGGTCTCAGCCCGGGCTGAATTTGGGGAGGGGTCCGCAGGGATTTTGCCAAAGAGCGGGAGCGGGTGGGGAACCTCCGGGCTTTGGGGGGCTTTGGGGGATTTTGGGGCATTTTGGGGGATTTTGGGGGGTTCTGCGGGATTTGGGGGGTTTGGACGGGTCTGGGGGGGCTCAGGGTGGTCCCGGCCCCGGCTGAATTTGGGGAGGGGTCCGCAGGGAGTTTGCCAAAGAGCGGGAGCGGGTTGAGAACCGCCGGGCGTTCCTGAAGCTGCGGCGGCAGCAGCAAATCGAGCGGGAGCTCAACGGATACATGGAGTGGATCTCCAAGGCGGGTGAGGGTCGGGACCACCCCCCAAAAATCCTCTAGAGGCCCCCCCAAAACCCGCCCCAACCTCATAACCTCACCCCAAAACTCTGCACGACCCCAAATCCATCCAAAATCCCTTTGGACGCCCCCAAATTCCCCTAAAATCCCTTCCCAAAATGCCTGGAATTCGCTCAAATCCCCCCCCCCCCCAAATCCTCCCCAAAGCCCCCCCTGAAGCCTCCAACCCCCCCAAATCCCCCAAAATCCCCCCCTGAACCCCCCCAAATCTCCCCAAATCACCCTCAAAAACCCCCCAAATCCCCCTGAGCCCCCCCAAAAGCCCCCCAAAATCCCCCCTGAACCCCCCCCAAAACCCCCCTGAGCCCCCCAAAATTCCCCCAAAATGCCCCCAAAACCCTCCCAAATCCCCCCTGAGCCCCCCAAAATCCCCTCAAAGCCCCTCCAAAGCCCCCAAATCCCCCCTGAGCCCCCAAACCCCCCCCAAATCCCCCCTGAGCCCCCCCAAATCCCCTCAAAAATCCCCCCAAATCCCCCCTGAGCCCCCCAAAATCCCCCCAAAATCCCCCCAAAACCCTCCCAAAATCCCCTCAAATCCCCCCTGAGCCCCCTCCAAACCCCCCCAAATCTGCCCTGAGCCCCCCAAATCCCCCCTGAGCCCCCCACGTTCCCTCAGAAGAGGTGATCCTGGCCGAGGACGAGCCCGAGGCCGAGCCCCGGCGCCCCTTCGATGGTAAGTGCAGCCCCCTCCCCTCCCCTCCCCCTCCCCGGGACCCCCCCCGGGACCCCTTTGGGACCCCCCGGGTGACGCCGCCCCCCTGTGCCCCCCCCCTGCGGGAGCTCTCCGGAGGGCCACCAGCAAGAGGAGCAAAACGGACCTGCTGAGCCCCGAGGAGGGCGAGGAGCAGCTGGGGGACATCGCCAACATGGGTGAGGGACATTGGGGACAATGGGGACAGTGGGGACATTGGGGACAATGGGGATAATGGGGACATTGGGGATAATGGGGACATTGGGGATAATGGGGACATTGGGGATAATGGGGACAGCTGGGGGACATCGCCAACATGGGTGAGGGACATTGGGGACACCGTGGGGACATTGGGGACAGCTGGGGGACATCGCCAACATGGGTGAGGGACAGGGGGACACCGTGGGGACACCATGGGGACAGTGGGGATAATGGGGACATTGGGGACAATGGGGACAGTGGGGACATGGGGACATCGCCAACATGGGTGAGGGGGGACGTGGGGACAGTGGGGACACCATGGGGACATTGGGGACATTGGGGATAATGGGGATAATGGGGATAATGGGGACAGCTGGGGGACATCGCCAACATGGGTGAGGGGGGACATGGGGACAGTGGGGACAATGGGGACATCGCCAACATGGGTGAGGGGGGACATGGGGACAGTGGGGACACCATGGGGACATTGGGGATAATGGGGACAATGGGGACAGCTGGGGGACATCGCCAACATGGGTGAGGGACATTGGGGACAATGGGGACACCATGGGGACATTGGGGACATTGGGGATAATGGGGACATCGCCAACATGGGTGAGGGACAGGGGGACAGTGGGGGGACATTGGGGACACTGGGGACATTGGGGACATCGCCAACATGGGTGAGGGGGGACGTGGGGACATTGGGGACAATGGGGACATTGGGGACAATGGGGACATTGGGGATAATGGGGACATTGGAACACTGGGGACATTGGGGACAGCTGGGGGACATCGCCAACATGGGTGAGGGACAGGGGGACAGGGGGGACACCATGGGGACATTGGGGACATCACCAACATGGGTGAGGGACAGGGGGACAGTGGGGACACCATGGGGGCAGTGGGGGACATTGGGGACATCGCCAACATGGGTGAGGGGGGACATGGGGACATTGGGGGGACAATGGGGACATTGGGGACACCATGGGGACATTGGGGACATCGCCAACATGGGTGAGGGGGACACGGGGACAGTGGGGACATTGGGGACAATGGGGACATCGCCAACATGGGTGAGGGACAGGGGGACAGTGGGGACACCATGGGGACACCATGGGGACATTGGGGACAATGGGGACAGCTGGGGGACATCGCCAACATGGGTGAGGGACAAAGGGGACACCATGGGGACAGTGGGGACAACAGGGACATCGCCAAAATGGGTGAGAGGGGAAATGGGGACACCATGGGGACATTGGGGACAATAGGGACATTGGGGACATCGCCAACATGGGTGGATGACAATGGGAACAATGGGGACATGGGGGGGTGACACAGGGATGGTTTTGGGGTTGGAGGGTGACACGAGGATGGTTTTTGGGGACAGATGGGTGACACGGGTGGCACAGGTGGCATGGGTGACACCCCAAGGTGGCACAGGGATGGTTTTTGGGGGATGGCGGGTGACACAGGTGACACAGGTGACACGGGTGACACGGGTGACACCCCAAGGTGACACCCCAAGGTGACACCCCAAGGTGACACAGGGATGGTTTTTGGGGTTGGAGGGTGGCATGGGGATGGTTTTTGGGGACAGATGGGTGACACGGGTGACACAGGGATGGTTTTTGGGGGACGGTGGGTGGCACAGGTGACACAGGTGGCACAGGTGGCACGGGTGACACCCCAAGGTGACACCCCAAGGTGACAGCGCGCCCTGGGGCGCTGCCCGCAGGCTCCCCCTTCGCCCGTGCCAGCCTCAAAAGTGCCAAGCTGGAGAACGCCTCGTTCCTGCAGCGGCGGGAGCGGCGCGTGCGCTTCCACATCCGGCGCATGGTGAAAACTCAGGCCTTCTACTGGACCGTGCTCAGTCTGGTAGCGCTCAACACCCTGTGTGTTGCTATCGTTCACTACGACCAGCCAGATTGGCTTTCCGACTTCCTCTGTGAGTCACGGGACCCCCGGGACCCCCAAAATCCTCCTGAGACCCCCAAAATCCTCCCCAATTCCCCTGAGACCCCCAGAGATCCCCTGAGACCCCCAGAGCTCCCAAATCCCCCCCAACACCCTGTGTGTTGCTATCGTTCACTACGACCAGCCAGATTGGCTTTCCGACTTCCTCTGTGAGTCACGGGACCCCCGGGACCCCCCTGAGACCCCCAAAATCCTCCCCAAATTCCCCTGAGATCCCCTGAGACCCCCAGAGCTCCCAAATCCCCCCCAACACCCTGTGTGTTGCCATCGTTCACTACGAGCAGCCAGATTGGCTTTCCGACTTCCTCTGTGAGTTGTGAGACCCCCGAGACCCCCAAAATCCTCCCCAAATTCCCCTGAGACCTCCCCAAATCCCCCCAGTGCCCCCCAGAGCCCCTCAGAGACCCCCTCCCCAAAATCCCCCCTGGAGAACTCAAATTCCCCCCCCCAAGATCCCCAGAGACCCCCCCCAATCCCCCCTTGAGACTCCCCCAAATCCCCCCAGAGCCCCCCAGAACCCCTCAGAATTCCTCAGAGACCCCCTCCCCAAAATCCCCCCTGGAGAACTCAAATCCCCCCCAAGATCCCCAGACACCCCCCAAATCCCCCCTTGAGACCCCCAAATCCACCCAGAGTCCCCCAGAGCTCTCCCAGACACCCCAAATCCCCCCTGAGACCCCCAAATCTCCCCTGAGACCCCCAAACCGCCCCCAGACCCCCCTGAACCCCTCCAGCTCCTGGGACCCCCCCTCATTTTTGGGACCCCCCGCCCCTGTTTTGGGGTTCCCCAGCCCGGGGGTCCCCGAGGGGCCCCCCCTGAGCCGTGCCCCCCCCCCTGCCCCCCCAGACTATGCAGAATTCATTTTCTTGGGACTCTTTATGTCCGAAATGTTTATAAAAATGTACGGGCTGGGGACGCGGCCTTACTTCCACTCGTCCTTCAACTGCTTCGACTGCGCCGTGAGTGCCAGGGGGTTTGGGATCCTTGTGATCCGTGGGATCCATGGGATCGATGGGATCCATGGGATTTGGGATCCATGGGATTTGGGATCCACGGGATCGATGGGATCCATGGGATCGATGGGATCCATGGGGTGGTATCGATGGGATCCATGGGATTTGGGATCCATGGGATCGATGGGATCCATGGGATCGATGGGATCCATGGGATTTGGGATCCACGGGATCGATGGGATCCATGGGATTTGGGATCCATGGGATCGATGGGATCCATGGGGTGGTATCGATGGGATCCATGGGATTTGGTATCCACGGGATCGATGGGATCGATGGGATCCATGGGATCCATGGGATTTGGGATCCATGGGATTTGGGATCCACGGGATCGATGGGATCCATGGGATTTGGGATCCACGGGATCCGGGGCATCTGGGATTTGGGTTTCGGGATCCAGGGAATCTGGGATTATGAGATCTGGGATCTGGGATTTGGGATCTGTGGGATTTGGGATCCGCGGCATCTGGGATCTGTGGGATTATGAGATCTGGGATCTGGGATTTGGGATCTGTGGGATTTGGGATCCACGGGATCTGGGATCTGTGGGATTATGAGATCTGGGATCTGGGATTTGGGATCTGTTGAATCTGGGGGCTGGGATCCATGGGATCCATGGGAACTGGGATTTGGGATCCGTGGGATGGGATCTGGGACAGGATTTGGGATCTGGGATTTGGGATCTGGGATGGGATCTGGGATCCAGGATGGGATCTGGGATTTGGGATCCAGGATGGGATTTGGGATCCGGGCTCCAGGATGGGATCCGGGCTCCAGGATGGGATCTGGGATCTGGGATCTGGGATCCAGGCCCCAGGATGGGATCTGGGATCTGGGATCTGGGCTCCAGGATGGGATCTGGGATTTGGGATCCAGGATGGGATTTGGGATCTGGGATTTGGGATCCGGGCTCCAGGATGGGATTTGGGATCTGGGATTTGGGATCCGGGATTTGGGATCTGGGCTCCAGGAGGCGCCGGGGGTGTCCCATCCCATCCCTGTCCCCAGGTTATCATCGGCAGCATCTTCGAGGTGATCTGGGCCGTTGTGAAGCCGGGCACGTCCTTTGGGATCAGCGTGCTGCGAGCTCTCAGGTTACTGCGCATCTTCAAAGTCACCAAGTGAGCCCCGCCGGCCCCCCCGTGTCCCCTCTGCGTGTGCCCCGTGTCCCCCCATGTGTCCCCTCACATCCCCTGTGTCCCCCCATGTCCCTCAGTGTCCCCCGTGTCCCCCCATGTGTCCCCTCACATCCCCCGTGTCCCCCCCCGTGTCCCCTCTGCGTGTGCCCCGTGTCCCCCCATGTGTCCCCTCACATCCCCCGTGTCCCCCCATGTCCCTCAGTGTCCCCCCCGTGTCCCCTCTGTGTGTCCCCCAGTGTCCCCTCATGTCCCCCCCATGTCCCCTCTGTGTCCCCCCATGCATCCCCTCACATACCCTGTGTCCCCACCATGTCCCCTGTGTCCCCCAGTGTCCCTCCTGTGTCCCTCCTGTGTCCCCCAGTGTCCCCTCATGTCCCCATTGTGCCCCTGATGTCCCCAGTGTCCCCTCGGTGTCCCCGGTGTCCCCACAGCCCTCTGCTGTCCCCAGTGTCCCCAATCTCCCCCCACTGTCCCCTCGGTGTCCCCAGCGTCCCCACAGCCCTCTGCCATCCCCACAGGTCCCCAGTGTCCCCAGTGTCCCCCCGTTGTCCCCCCGGTGTCCCCGGTGTCCCCACAGCCCTCTGCCGTCCCCACAGGTCCCCAATGTCCCCGTTGTGTCCCCAATGTCCCCAGTGTCCCCTCGGTGTCCCCGGTGTCCCCCCAGCCCTCTGCCGTCCCCGCAGGTCCCCTGTGTCCCCCAATGTCCCCAATGTCCCCTCAGTGTCCCCGGTGTCCCCCCAGCCCTCTGCCGTCCCCAATGTCCCCAATGTCCCCCCGGTGTCCCCCCGGTGTCCCCGGTGTCCCCACAGCCCTCTGCCGTCCCCGCAGGTACTGGGCTTCCCTGCGGAACCTGGTGGTGTCCCTGCTCAACTCCATGAAATCCATCATCAGCCTCCTCTTCCTCCTCTTCCTCTTCATCGTCGTCTTCGCCCTTTTGGGGATGCAGCTCTTCGGGGGACAGTGAGTGACCCCTCCCCAAACCAGGGCATGGGGACCCCCCCCGGGCTGTGTCCCCCCGACATTGGGGGGGTGTCTCTGTGCCCCCCCCCCATGCCCCCCCCTGCTTTTTTTTTATTTTTTATTTTTTTGGGGGGGCGGGGGGGGCTCCACCACTGCCCCCCCCCTCCCCAAACTCCCCCCGCACCCCCCCCCCCCAGGTTCAATTTTGACGACGGGACCCCTCCCACCAATTTCGACACTTTCCCAGCAGCAATAATGACGGTGTTCCAGGTATGCCCCGCCCCCCCTTCCCCCAGGTGACGGCTGGGGGTCCCTCTCCAGGTGGGGAGGGGTCCCCGCTGCCCCCCCAGGGCCGCTCTGTGTTCCCTCCCCACCCCTCAGATCCTGACGGGAGAAGATTGGAACGCGGTGATGTACGACGGCATCAAATCTCAGGGCGGCGTCAAGGGCGGCATGGTCTTCTCCGTCTACTTCATCGTCCTCACCCTCTTTGGAAATTGTATCCTGGGGGGGTCCCCGGGGCTCCTGGGGAGGGCAGGGGGGTCCTGGGGAGGGCAGGGGGGTCCTGGCCCCCGTTTTGCCTTGACACGAGCCCCAGACACGCTCCTGAACGTCTTCTTGGCCATCGCCGTGGACAACTTGGCCAACGCGCAGGAGCTCACCAAGGTTGGGGGGCTGGGGGGTTTTGGGGGGTTTTGGGGGCGTTTTGGGGGTCCGGGGGGGCTCAGAGCCGGGCTGGACGTGGCTCTGGGGCTGCGCAGGATGAGCAGGAGGAGGAGGAAGCCGCCAACCAGAAGCTGGCGCTGCAGAAGGCCAAGGAGGTGGCCGAGGTCAGCCCGCTGTCTGCAGCCAACATGTCCGTGACCATGTGAGTGTCCCCGGCCCGCCGGGATCACCCCGGCTCCGTCCTCGGGCCCAAAAATCCCCAAAGCCACCCTAGAGCTGGGCTGGGCCCACCTGGGCTCCATCTTTGGGTCCAAAAATCCCCAAAGCCACCCTAGAGCTGGGCTGGGCCCACCTGGGCTACAAGCTCGGGTCCAAAAATCCCCAGAGCCGGGCTGGGCCCACCTGGGCTCCATCCTCGGGTCCATCCTGGGTCCTTCCTCAGCGGCATCCCCGGATCTGCCCCGGCTCCATCCTGGCTCCATCCTGGATCTTTCCCAGCTCCATCCCAGCTCCATCCCAGCTCCATCCCTGGCTCCATCCCTGGCTCCATCCTGGCTCCATCCCAGCTCAATCTCCAGCTCCATTCTCAGCTCCATCCCTGGCTCCATCCCGGCTCCATCCTGGCTCCATCCCAGCTCAATCTCCAGCTCCATTCTCAGCTCCATCCCTGGCTCCATCCCGGCTCCATCCCGGCTCCATGTGCGGATCGATCTCGGCTCCATCCCGGCTCCATGTGCGGATCGATCTCGGCTCCATCCCAGCTCCATCCCAGCTCAATCTCCAGCTCCATCCTGGCTCCATCCCAGCTCCATCCTGGCTCCATCCCGGCTCCATGTGCGGATCGATCTCGGCTCCATCCCAGCTCCATCCCTGGCTCCATCCCGGCTCCATGTGCGGATCGATCTCGGCTCCATCCCAGCTCCATCCCTGGCTCCATCCCGGCTCCATGTGCGGATCGATCTCGGCTCTATCCCAGCTCCATCCCAGCTCAATCTCCAGCTCCATCCCCGGCTCCATCCCGGCTCCATGTGCGGATCGATCTCGGCTCCATCCCAGCTCCATCTGCAGATCCATCTCAGCTCCATGTGCGGATCGATCTCTGCTCCATCCCATCCCCACCCTTGCCTCCATCCCAGCTCCATCCCGGATCCTGCCCGGCTCCGTCCCATCCCACCCTCCCAGACCCCACCCCAGACCCCACCCCGACCCCAATCCCACCCCCGGGCCCGGCCCCCCGCAGGAAGGAGCAGCAGAAGAACCAGAAATCCTCCAAGTCGGTGTGGGAGCAGCGCACGAGCGAGCTGCGCAAGCAGAACCTGCTGGCGAGCCGCGAGGCCCTGTACAGCGAGCTGGACCCCGAGGAGCGCTGGAAGGTGCCCTACGCCCGCCACCTGCGCCCGGACATGAAGACGCACCTGGACCGGCCGCTGGTGGTGGATCCGCAGGAGAACCGCAACAACAACACCAACAAAACGCGGCCCGGGGAGCCGCCGCTGGCCGAGCCCCGCCTGGGGCCGCTGCGCCCCGAGGAGCTGCGGCGGCAGCCGCGCTACCCCGAGCACGGCCCGCGGCCCCCGGAGGCACCGGCGGGAGCTCCCGGCGGCCGCCGGCCCCGCAGCAGCAGCCGCGAAGCGGAGCGGGAGCCCAGCCAGGAGCGGGGGGGATACGGGGACGGCGAGCGGCCCAAGGGGCGGCACCGGAGCCGGGAGGGACGCGCGGGGTCGCCGCCCGAACGGGAGCACCGGAGGCACCGCGGGCACCGGAGAGCGCCCGAGGAGGGAGAGGAGGGAGGGAGGATCCCCCCCGAGCGGCGGCCGCGGCACCGGGACGGGGGCAGAGCGCCCAGGGCAGACGGAGACGCGGAGCAGCAGCAGCAGCAGCACCACGGGGACGGCGAGCGGCGGCGGCGGCACCGGCACGGGCCGGCTCCCCCCGGCTACGACGGAGAGGGCAGGAGGGACGAGCGGGAGCGGCGGCACCGCAGGAGGAGGTGAGGGCGGCGGGAGCGACCCCAGAGAGCCCCGGAACCCCAGGAGTCTCCAGAGCCTCCCCAGGAGTCTCCAGAACCCCCTCCCAGGAGCCCCGCAGGGCCCCCACAGCCCCTTCCGAGCCCTCTCAAGAGCTCCAGAACCTCCTAGGATCCCCCAAAACTTCCTCCAGAACCCCCCAGAACTCCCCAGAGCCCCCAGAAGCCCTCCCAGATCCCCCCAGACCCTCAGAGCCGCCCCAGAACCCCCCCAGGACCCACCAGAGCCCCCCGAGAAGCCCCCAGTCCCCGCCAGAACCCCAGGACCCCCAGAACCCCCAACCAGAGCTCCGTCAGAGCCCCTCGAGAGCCCTGCCAGAACCCCAGAACTCCCCAGAGCCCCCCCAGAACCCCAGGACCCTCAGAATCCCCCACCAGAGCCCCCCCAGAGCCCACCCCAGAACCCCAGGACCCCCAGAATCCTCCCCAAGACCCACCAGAGCCCACCCCAGACCCCCAGGACCCCCAGAACACCCCCAAGGACCCACCAGAGCCCCACCAGAGCCCCCCCAGAACTCCCCAGAACCCCGTCCAGAACCCCCACAGCCCCCCCAGAACCCCCCAGAGTCCCCCAGGACCACCAGGATGGGACTGCCCGGGCCTTGCCACCTCTCCCTGTTAGGGGGGATCCCCTCTGAAGCCCCTTCCTCCCCTCTGAAGCCCCCTCCTCCTCCTCCTCCTCCTCCTCTCCGCGCTCAGGGAGCCGCAGCCGCCGCCCCCGGCCCCGTCGGGCCCCACCCTCTCCACCACCCGGCCCATCCAGCAGGACTTGGGGCGCCGCGGGGACCCCCCCGCCGTGGCCGAGGACATGGACAACGTGCGGAACGACAAACTGGCCACGGGGGTGGGGGGGGGCAGCGCCGAGCCCCCCCCGGCGCCGCCCCCCGCCCTGGGAAACCACGCCCCCTGCCCGCCCCCGCCGCCCCCCGCCCCCGGGAACGGCCTGGGGGGCTCCTCCAAGCCCCCCAATAACCCCGGCAAGGCGGGGGGGGGCAGGCCCGAGCACACGGCCGTGGACATCCCCCCCCCCTTCCCGCCGCCCCCCAGCAACGCCCTGGTCCAAGGTAAGGGGGGGGTTTGGGGAGGGTCTGGGGGCTTCGGGAGGGTCCTGGGGGGGGTTTGGGGGGGTCTGGGGGGTCAAGAGGGGGTGGACGGGGAGATTTGGGGGGGGTCTGGAGGGGTCCTGGGAGGGTCCAGGGGGGTTTTGGGGGTGTTTGGGAGGGTCCAGGGGGGGTTTGGGGTGGTTTGGGAGGGTCCAGGGGGCTTTGGGAGGGCCAAGGTAGAGGGGGTCCGATAAGATTTGGGGGGCTCTGGGAGGGTCTGAAGGGGTCCAGGAGTGGTTTGGGGTGGTTTGGGAGGGTCCAGGGGGGTTTGGGAGGGTCCAGGGGGCTTTGGGAGGGACAAGGTAGGGGGGGTCCGATAAGATTTGGGGAGTTCTGGGAGGGTCCAGGAAGGGTCTGGGGGAGTCTGGAAGGGTCCAGTGAGATTTGAGGGGGGGTCTGGAAGGGTCCAAGAGGGTCTGGGGGGGTCAGGGAGGGGTCTGGAAGGGTCTGGGGGGGTCAAGGGATGTGCACGGAGCCCGGGGGGGGGTTCAGGGGATTCAGGAGACCAGGAGGATTTGGGGGCTCCTGGGGAGGATTTGGGGCCTCTTTGGGGGGATTTGGGGGCTCTTTGGGGGGATTTGGGGGCTCGGGGGTCCCTAATTCCGCCGCCCCCTCCCCTCAGTGAACAGGAACGCCAACCCCGAGCCGCTGCCCCGCAAGGAGGAGGAGGAGAAGAAGGAGGAGGAAGGCGAGGGGCAGGACGAGAACGGCCCCAAGCCCATGGTGCCCTACAGCTCCATGTTCATCCTGTCCACCACCAACCCGTGAGCGCCCCCCGCCTTTTGGGGGGGTCCTGGGGGGCTCGGGGGGGGTCTGGATGGGTTTGGGGGGGGTTTTGGGGGGGTTTTTGGGGGATTCTGGGGGTTTCCAGAGATGAACAGCTCCGTGTTCATCCTGAACACCAACAACCCGTGAGCAGGGGGGGCTCGGGGAGGGTCCTGGGGGCGCTTGGGGAGATCTTGGGGGGTCTGGGGGGGTCTGGGAGGGTCTGGAAGGGTCCTGGGGGGGCTTGGGGAGGTCTTGGGGGGGTCTGGAAGGGTCCTGGGGGGCTCTGGGGGAGGTCCTGAGGGGGTCCTGGGGGGCTCTGGGAGGTTTTGGGGGAGCTCTGGGGATTCCTGGGGCTCTTGGTAGGATCTGGGGTGTCCTGGGGGGGGGTCCCGGGGTTCTGGGGGGGCTCTGGGGTGTCTGGGAGGGTCCCTGGGGGGCTCTGGGGGGGTCTCAGCCCATTCCCCCTCCCCAGGTTCTGGCGGCTCTGCCACTACAGGGAAGGGGGCTCTGGGTATCCCGGGGTTCTGGGGGGGCTCTGGGGGGTCCCGGGGTTTTGGGGGGTTTTGGGGGGGCTCTGGGGGGTCCCGGGGTTTTGGGGGGGGTCCCGGGGGGGGTCTCAGCCCGTGCCCCCTCCCCAGGTTCCGGTGGCTCTGCCATTACAGGGAAGGGGGCTCTGGGTATCCCGGGGTTCTGGGGGGTTTTGGGGGGGTCCCAGGGTTTTGGGGGTCCCTGGGGGGGCTCTGGGAGGTTTTGGGGGGGGGTCCCAGGGTTTTGGGGGGTCCCGAGGTTTTTGGGGGGGGGTCCCGGGGGGGGTCTCAGCCCATGCCCCCCCCCAGGTTCCGGCGGCTGTGCCATTACATCGTGAACCTGCGCTATTTCGAGATGTGCATCCTGATGGTGATCGCCATGAGCAGCATCGCGCTGGCGGCCGAGGACCCCGTGCAGCCCAACGCGCCCCGCAACAACGTGAGGAAGGAGACCCCTCCCCTAATTACACTGAGACCCCTCCCCTAATTACACTGAGACCCCTCCCCTAATTAACACTGAGACCCCTCCCCTAATTAGCACTGAGACCCCTCCCCAAATTAACACTGACCCTGTGACAACGTGAGGAGACCCCTCCCCTAATTAGCACTGAGACCCCTCCCCTAATTACACTGAGACACCTCCCCTAATTAGCACTGACACCCCTCCCCTAATTAACACTGACCTGAGACCCCTCCCCTAATTACACTGACCCAAAACCCTCCCCTAATTAACACTGAGACCCCTCCCCAAATTAACAGTGACCCTGTAACAACGTGAGGAGACCCCTCCCCTAATTAGCACTGAGACCCCTCCCCTAATTAGCACTGAGACCCCTCCCCAAATTAACACTGAGACCCCTCCCCTAATTGACACTGAGACCCCTCCCCTAATTAACACTGACCCCCCCATAACAACGTGAGGAGACCCCTCCCCTAATTAGCACTGAGACCCCTCCCCTAATTAACACTGACCCTGTGACAACGTGAGGAGACCCCTCCCCAAATTAACACTGAGACCCCTCCCCAAATTAACACTGGCCCGAGACCCCTCCCCAAATTGACACTGAGACCCCTCCCCAAATTAACACTGACCCTGTAACAACGTGAGGAGACCCCTCCCCTAATTAACACTGAGACCCCCCCAAATTACTGACCGAGACCCCTCCCCTAATTAACACTGACCCTGTGACAACGTGAGGAGACCCCTCCCCAAATTAACAGTGACCCGAGACCCCTCCCCAAATTAACACTGAGACCCCCCCAACAACGTGAGAGAGACCCTTCCCCAAATTGTGAGACCCCTCCCCATTTCTGAGACCCCTCCCCAAATTAATTCCGACCTCCACAACAACATGAGACCCTTCCCCAATTTCTGTGTGAGTCTGGTGGGCTCTGGTGGGCTCTGGGGGGCTCTGGGGGGTTCTGGGGGTCTCTGGGGGTGCTTTGGGGGGTCCCGGGGTTCTGGGGGGTTCTGGGGGTCTCTGGGGGGGGTTCTGGGAATCTCTGGGGGGTCCCGGGGTTCTGGGGGTCTCTGGGGGGCTCTGGGGGTCTCTGGGGGGGGTCCCCACCTTTCCCCCCTCGCCCCCCCCCAGGTGCTGCGTTACTTCGATTACGTCTTCACGGGGGTCTTCACCTTCGAGATGGTGATCAAGGTGAGCGTGGGGAGGGGTCTGCGGGCTGGGGGGGGGGGGCACCCCCAGGACCCCCATGATGACCCCGCCCCCCCCCCCCCCCCCCTTCCCCCCAAGATGGTGGACCTGGGGCTGGTGCTCCACCAAGGCTCCTACTTCCGGGACCTGTGGAACATTCTGGATTTCATCGTGGTCAGCGGCGCCCTGGTGGCCTTCGCCTTCACGTGAGTGCCCCCCCCAGTGCCCCCCAGTATCCCCCAGTGCCCCCCAATACCCCCCAGTATCCCCCAGTGCCCCTCAGTATCCCCCAGTGCCCCCCAGTGCCCCCCAATAGCCCCAATAGCCCCCAGTGTCCCCCAGTACCCCCAGTAACCCCCCCAGTGCCCCCCAGTATCTCCCAGTGCCCCCCAATAGCCCCCAGTATCCCCCAGTGCCCCCCAGTGCTTCCCAGTGCCCCCCAGTATCCCCCAGTATCCCCCAGTGCCTCCCAGTGCCCCCCAATACCCCCCAGTATCCCCCAATAGCCCCCAGTATCCCCCAGTATCCCCTCAGGGTCCCCCCAGGGCCCCCCAGCGCTCTCTGTTGTCGCTTTGGCGTTTGTCCCCACGTCCGTGTGTCCGTCCTGTCCCCGTCCCTGCGTGGGTGTGAGAATCCCCTGAGTAAAGGGGGAGAATCTCCTGAGTAAAGGGGGAGAATCCGGTGAGAATCCCCTGAGTAAAGGGGGAGAATCTCCCGAGTAAAGGGGGAGAATCCCCCAAATAAAGGGGGAGAATCCGGTGAGAATCCCCTGAGTAAAGGGGGAGAATCCTCTCAGTAAAAGGCGAGAATCCCCCCAAGTAAAAGGTGGTGAGAACGCCCTGAGTAAAGGGGGAGAATCCCCTGAGTAAAGGGGGAGAATCCCCTGAGTAAAGGGGGAGAATGTCCTGAGTACAGGGGGAGAATCCCCTGAGTAAAGGGGGAGAATGTCCTGAGTAAAGGGTGAGAATCCAGTGAGAACACCCTGAGTAAAGGGGGAGAATCCCCTGAGTAAAGGCTGAGCATCCCCTGAGTGTCTGAGCAGCCCTAAATGTTGAGCATCCCCTGTGTAAAGTCTGAGCATCCCCTGCGTAAAGTCTGAGCATCCCCTGAGTGTCTGAGCATCCTGTGAGTAAAGTTTGAGCATCCTGTGAGTAAAGTCTGAGCATCCCCTGAGTGTCTGAGCATCTTGTGAGTAAAGTTTGAGCATCCTGTGAGTAAAGTTTGAGCATCCCATGTAAAGTCTGAGCATCCCATGTAAAGTCTGAGCATCCTGTGAGTGTCTGAGCATCCCCTGTGTAAAGCCTGAGCATCCTGTGAGTAAAGTCTGAGTAGCTCTGTCTGACCGTGCCTTGTCTCTCCGCTTCCTCCGCCTCCTCCGCCGCAGGAGCAGCTCACGGTAAATCCTTCAGCCTTCGTCCCTGTCCGTCCGTCCGTCCGTCCGTCCTCGTCCTCTTCCTCGTGCTCGTGCCTCGCTCCCCCTCCCCAAATTCCCACCCCCCCTCCCCAATACAAAACCTCCTCAGGCAAAAATGGGGGGGGGGGGGGGGGCTCAGCTTGGAGGGAGGGGGAGGGAAAGGGGGGGATGGGATGGGGGGGGGATGGGACCGCCCGTGGTCCTGGGGGGGTTTTGGGGGGGGGGGGTCCACAGCAGGGGAGGGGTCTCACCCCCTTTGCCCTTTGCCCTTTGCCCCCTCCCCAGCGGCAGCAGCAAAGGCAAGGACATCAATACCATCAAGTCCCTGCGCGTGCTGCGCGTGCTGCGGCCCCTCAAGACCATCAAGAGGCTGCCCAAGCTCAAGGTGGGCTTGGAGGGGGGATTTTGGGGAGGGGGGAGTCGTGGTGGGGGGATTTAAAAAAATTCCTTGTGGGGATTTAAAAAAAATTCCCTGTGGGGATTATATAATGATATGATATTTTATGCGTATGTGTATATATATATATATTTTTTTTTTTTTTTTATATCTATATATATAATATATAATATATAAAATATAATATATATTATATAATATATAATAAATAAGCACTATTAATATCATATAATCACGTATAAGGCAATACAATATAATGTAATAATGTCATATCATATCACATCATTTATCATGTAATATAATATAATATAATATGATTGATATGATGTGATGTAATGTAATATGATATGATATAATTAATATAATATAATATAATATAATATAATATAATATAATATAATATAATTGATATGATGTGATGTAATGTAATATGATATGATATAATATAATTAATATAATATAATATAATATAATATAATATAATATAATATAATATAATATAATATGCAATACAATATAATGCAATACAAGATAAAATATAATGCAATATAATGTTATGTAATGTAATGTAATAAATACATGATGTGATATGATATAATACTATAATATAATATAGTATAGTATAACATAATAATATAATATACTATAATACGTAATATAATATAATACAATGTAACGTAATAAATATAATTAATACAGCATAACATAACGTAATGTAATGTAACATAACATAACATAACATAACGTAATATGATATGATATGATATAATATAATATAATATAATATAATATAATATAATATAATATAATGTAATGTAATGTAATGTAATGCAATGCAATGCAATATAATATGGTATAATATAATATTATATTATATAATATAATGTAATGTAATGTAATGTAATAGAATAGAATGTAATGTAATGCAATGCAATGCAATATAATATGATATAATATAATATAATATAATATAATATAATATAATATAATATAATATAATATAATATAATATAATATAATATAATATAATATAATGCAATAGAATACAATACAATACAATACAATACAATACAATACAATACAATACAATACAATACAATATAATATAATATAATATAATATAATATAATATAATATAACACAATACAATACAATGTAATCCATCCTCGGCAGGCCGTGTTCGACTGCGTGGTGAACTCCCTCAAGAACGTCCTCAACATCCTCATTGTCTACATGCTCTTCATGTTCATCTTCGCCGTGGTGGCCGTGCAGCTCTTCAAGGGCAAATTCTTCTACTGCACCGACGAGTCCAAGGAGTTTGAGAAGGACTGCAGGTAGGGCCCGGCCGGGCGGGACCCCCGCGCCCTGCCCGGCCCTCGCCCACCTCCCCTCGCCCTGTCCCGCCCAGGGGCGAGTACCTGGTCTACGAGAAGGACAACGAGGTGAAGGCGCAGAAGCGCGAGTGGAAGAAGTACGAGTTCCACTACGACAACGTGCTCTGGGCGCTGCTGACGCTGTTCACCGTCTCCACAGGAGAGGGGTGGCCCCAGTGAGCAATGGGGGGGGCTGAGAGGGGTTTGGGGGGGGTCTGAGAGGGGTTTTGGGGGGGTCTGAGTGGGGTTTGGGGGGTCTGAGAGGGGTTTTGGGGGGTCTGAGGGGGGCAGAGGGACCCCCGGGTGCTCTGGGCGCTGCTGACGCTGTTCACCGTCTCCACGGGCGAGGGGTGGCCCCAGTGAGCAATGGGGGGGGCTGAGAGGGGTTTGGGGGGGGTCTGAGAGGGGTTTTGGGGGGGTCTGAGTGGGGTTTGGGGGGTCTGAGAGGGGTTTTGGGGGGTCTGAGGGGGGCAGAGGGACCCCCGGGTGCTCTGGGCGCTGCTGACGCTGTTCACCGTCTCCACTGGGAGGGGTGGCCCCAGTGAGCAATGGGGGGTCTGGGGGGTCTGAGAGGGGTTTGTGGGGTCTGGGACGGGTTTGGGGGGGTCTGAGGGGGGCAGAGGGACCCCCCCAGCAGCAAATACAACCCTGGTGTCAGCAGGTGTAAGGCCAGTGTCACCCCAGTGTCACCTGGTATAATCCCAGTGCCATCCCAGCGTCACCTGGTATAATCCCAGTGTCACATTGGTGTCACCTGGTGTAACCCCAGTGCCACTCCAATGCCACCTGAGTACCCAGTGCCACCCCAGTGCCATCCCAGTGTCACCTGGCTACCCAATGCCACTCCAATGCCACCTGGTGTAACCCCAGTGCCACCCCAGTGTCACCTGGTATAATCCCAGTGTCACATTGGTGTCACCTGGTGTAAACCCAGTGCCACCCCAGTGTCACCTGAGTACCCAGTGCCACTCCAATGCCACCAGGTGTAACCCCAGTGCCACCCCAATGCCACCTGAATACCCAGTGCCACCCCAGTGTCACATTGGTGTCACCTGGTGCAACCCCAGTGCCACCCCAGTGTCCCCTGCTGCCACCCCAGTGTCCCCCGCTGTCACCCAGGGCTCCGAGGGGGCCAGCAGGACCCCCCCAGCCCCAACCCCGTGCCCCCCACCCCTCCCCAGGGTGCTGAAGCACTCGGTGGACGCCACGTACGAGAACCAAGGGCCCAGCCCCGGGTACCGCATGGAGATGTCCATCTTCTACGTGGTCTACTTCGTGGTGTTCCCCTTCTTCTTCGTCAACATCTTCGTGGCCTTGATCATCATCACCTTCCAGGAGCAGGGGGACAAGATGATGGAGGAGTACAGCCTGGAGAAGAACGAGGTGCGGGGCTGGGGGGCCACGGGGAGGGGGTGGCACGGCTGTGTCACCATCAGGGTGGGTGACACAGGGTACTCAGGTGCCACCTGACACCTGGGTGACACCTCTCTGTCCATTCCAGGGTGGGTGGCACCTCTGTGTCACTGCCAGGGTGGGTGGCACGGCTGTGTCACCATCAGGGTGGGTGGCACCTCTGTGTCCATTCCAGGGTGGGTGACACCTCTGTGTCACTGCCAGGGTGGGTGACACAGCTCTGTCATTGCTGGGGTGGGTGACAATGTCTGCAGCAGGGTGGGTGACGCTGCTGTGTCCATTCCAGGGTGGGTGACACTGCTGTGTCACTGCCAGGGTGGGTGACACCGCTGTGTCATCCTCAAGGTGGGTGACACGGCTGTGTCACCATCAGGGTGGGTGACAATGTCTGCAGCAGGGTGGGTGACACTGCTGTGTCACCATCAGAGTGGGTGACACCGCTGTGTCACTGCCAGGGTGGGTGACACCTCCACGTGGGTGACACCCCCATGTGGGTGACGCCCCCATATCCCCACTGGGGTTGGTGACACCCCTATGTGGGTGACACCCCCGTGTCCATACTGGGGTTTATGACACCCCTACGTGTGTGACACCCCCATGTCACTGGGTGACACCCCCACATTTGTGACCCCCCCATGTCCCCACCAGGGTTTATGACACCCCCACGTGTGTGACACCCCCCATGTCACTACCAGGGTGGGTGACACCCCCACATTTGTGACTCCCCCCATGTCCCCACCGGGGTTTATGACACCCCCATGTGTGGGACACCCCCGTGTCCATACTGGGGTTTATGACCCCCCCATTTGTGACCCCCCCGTGTCCCCCCCCCTTTGCAGAGGGCCTGCATCGACTTTGCCATCAGCGCCAAGCCCCTGACCCGGCACATGCCCCAGAACCGCCAGAGCTTCCAGTACCGCATGTGGCAGTTCGTGGTGTCCCCTCCCTTCGAGTACACCATCATGGCCATGATCGCCCTCAACACCATCGTGCTCATGATGAAGGTGGGCAGGGACGGTGACAGGGGGGACCCCCAGGGGTTGTTGTCACCCCCCTTGAGACCCCCAGGTCCTCCTGGTGCTGGGCTTTGTCCTGCTCTGTGTCCCGGAGCTGTTCCTGGAGCTCAGCTTTGTCCTGCACCTCAGGGCCTGTCCCTGTCCCTGTCCCTGTCCCCCTGACCCACCCCAACCCCACAATTCACCATCCCTGGACCCGTTCCTGGAGCTCAGCTTTGTCCTGCACCTCAGGACCTGTCCCTCTTCCCCCCAGAAGTTGTCCCCGTTCCCCTGGGACCCAGGAAAGGCCCCTGTGGCCCTGTCCCCACTGCCACCCCGCCCTGTCCCCCTGTCCCCACTGCCACCCCCGCCCTGTCCCCCTGTCCCCACCGTCCGTCCCGCCCTGTCCCCGCAGTTCTACGACGCCTCCGACACCTACGAGAACGTGCTCAAGATGTTCAACAACGTCTTCACCTCCCTCTTCTCCCTCGAGTGTCTCCTCAAGATCATGGCCTTCGGGGTCCTGGTAGGGCTGGGGGGACCCTGGGGACATGGGGGGTGAGAGGGCATCAGGGAACCCCAGGAATGTTGGGGACCCCAAAGCTTCGGGGGATCCCAAAACCTCAGGGGACCCCAGGAGTGTTGGGGACTCCAAAACCCATTCAGGGGACCCCAAGGACCTCAGGGGACTCCAAAGATCTCAGGGGACCCCAAAACCTCAGGGGACCCCAGGAGTGTTGGGGACCCCAAAACCCATTCAAGGGACCCCAAGGACCTCAGGGGATCCCAAAACCTCAGGGGACCCCAGGAATGTTGGGGACCCCAAAACCTCAGGAGATCCCAAGGACCTCAGGGGACCCCAAAACCTCAGGGGACCCCAGGAATGTTGGGGACCCCAAGGACCTCAGGGGACCCCAGGAATGTTGGGGATCCAAAACCCATTCAGGAGACCCCAAGGACCTCAGGGGACTCCAAAGATCTCAGGGGACCCCAAGACCTCAGAGGACCCCAAGGACCTCAGGGGACCCCAGGAATGTTGGGGACCCCCAAGGACCTCATGGGACCCCCAAGACCTCATGGGACGAGCGTCCCAGCTCTGTCACTGTTCATTCTGGGTACAGGGCTCCAGTGTGGGGTCACCTCGAGATTTATGGGGCCACTCCAGGGGTACCCCAAGATCAGGGACCCCACATCCAACCCCCTTTTCCCCAGAATTATTTCCGCGACGCCTGGAACATCTTCGACTTCGTGACGGTGCTGGGCAGCATCACCGACATCCTGGTGACGGAATTCGGGGTAGGTGGGGACACCTCCACCATCCCCTGCCCTGACCCCATTTTTGGGGTCCCCTTTGTGCCCTTCACCCCCTTTTTTCCCCCCCCCCCCCCAGAACAACTTCATCAACCTGAGCTTCCTGCGGCTGTTCCGCGCCGCGCGCCTCATCAAGCTCCTGCGCCAGGGCTACACCATCCGCATCCTGCTCTGGACCTTCGTGCAGTCCTTCAAGGTGGCCCCCAAAGCACCCCGAAAATGTCACCCCCCGCCCCCAAAATGCCACCCCCACCCCGTGACCGCCCGCGCTGTGCCCCCCCCAGGCCCTGCCCTACGTGTGCCTGCTCATCGCCATGCTCTTCTTCATCTACGCCATCATCGGGATGCAGGTGAGACCCTCCTGGGGCAGGTGAGACCCTGCTGGGGCAGGTGAGACCCTGCTGGGGCAGGCGAGAGCCTCCTGGGGCAGGTGAGACCCTGCTGGGGTAGGTGAGACCCTCCTGGGGCAGGTGAGACCCTGCTGGGGCAGGCGAGACCCTCCTGAGGCAGGTGAGAGCCTTTGAGTGTAGGTGAGACCCTCCTGGGGCAGGTGAGACCCTCTGGGGCAGGTGAGACCCCTCAGGTGTAGGTGAGACCCTGCTGGGGCAGGTGAGACCCTCCTGGGGCAGGTGAGACCCTCCTGGGGCAGGCGAGAGCCTCCTGGGGCAGGTGAGACCCCTCTGGTGTAGGTGAGACCCGCCTGTGGCAGGTGAGACCCTCCTGGAGCAGGTGAGACCCTCCTGGGGCAGGTGAGACACCCCAGGTGTAGGTGAGACCCTCCTGTGGCAGGTGAGACCCTCCTGGGGCAGGTGAGACCCTCCTGGAGCAGGTGAGACACCCCAGGTGTAGGTGAGACCCTCCTGGGGCAGGTGAGACCCTCCTGGGGCAGGTGAGACCCTCCTGGAGCAGGTGAGACACCCCAGGTGTAGGTGAGACCCTCCTGGGGCAGGTGAGACCCTCCTGGGGCAGGTGAGACCCTCCTGGGGCAGGCGAGAGCCTCCTGGGGCAGGTGAGACCCTGCTGGGGCAGGTGACACCCCCAAGGTGTAGGTGAGACCCTCTGGGTGCAGGTGAGACCCTCCTGGGGCAGGTGAGACCCTCCTGGAGCAGGTGAGACGCCCCAGGTGTAGGTGAGACCCTCTGGGGCAGGTGAGACCCTCCTGGGACAGGTGACACCCCCCAGGTGTAGGTGAGACCCTCCTGGGGCAGGCGAGAGCCTCCTGGGGCAGGTGAGACCCCTCAGGTGTAGGTGAGAAGCCCCAGGTGCAGGTGACACCCCCAGGTGCAGGTGACACCCCCAGGTGTAGGTGACACCCCCAGCCCCCCCTGAGGTGCCCTGGACCCCCCCCAGGTGTTCGGGAACATCGGCATCGAGGAGGAGGATGATGAGTCGGCCATCACCCAGCACAACAACTTCCGCACCTTCTTCCAGGCCCTGATGCTGCTCTTCAGGTGAGCCCCGCTGGCACCTGGGGGACACCTGGGCGGCCACTGCCATCCCGGTGTCACCTGGTGTCATCCCATTGTCACCCTGGTGTCACCTGGTGTCATCCCAGTGCCACCCCGGTGTCACCTGGGTCTCTTGTCCCACCCCGGTGTCACCTGGTGTCATCCCAGTGCCACCCTGGTATCACCTGGTGTCATCTCAGTGTCACCCTGGTGTCACCTGCTGTCATCCCAGTGCCACCCCGGTGTCACCTGGTGTCATCCCACTGCCATCCCGGTGTCACCTGGTGTCATCCCATTGTCACCCTGGTGTCACCTGGTGTCATCCCACTGCCACCCCGGTGTCACCTGGTGTCATCCCACTGCCATCCCGGTGTCACCTGGTGTCATCCCAGTGTCACCCTGCTGTCACCTGCTGTCATCCCAGTGCCACCCCGGTGTCACCTGGGTCTCTTGTCCCACCCCGGTGTCACCTGGCTAAGTCCCAGTGCCACCACCAGTGCCACGCTGGTGCCCCCCTCGCCCTCTCCCCGCCGTGTCCCCGCGCCCATGCCGGTGTCACCCGGTGTCCCTTGTCCCCAGGAGTGCCACCGGGGAGGCGTGGCACGAGATCATGCTGTCGTGCCTCAGCGGGAAGCCGTGCGACGAGAACTCGGGCATCAAGGAGGACGAGTGCGGCAACGAGTTCGCCTACTTCTACTTCGTGTCCTTCATCTTCCTCTGCTCCTTCCTGGTCAGCCCCCGGGGGGGGTCCCCAAAGCGCCCCCAAACTGTCCCCAAAGTGCCCCCAAACTGTCCCCAAAGTGCCCCCAAAGTGTCCCCAAAGTGTCCCCAAAGTGCCCCCAAAGGGTTCCCAAAGCGTCCACAAATTGTCCCCAAAGTGTCCCCAAAGTGCTCCTAAAATGTCCCCCAAAGTGTCCCCAAAGTGTCCTCAAAGTGTCCACAAATTGTCCCCAAAGTGTCCCCAAAGTGCTCCTAAAGTGTCCCCCAAAGTGTCCCCAAAGTGTCCTCAAAGTGTCCACAAATTGTCCCCAAAGTGCCCCCAAGCTGTCCCCAAAAACGCCATCAAAGTGTCCCCCAAAGTGTCCCCAAAGCGCCCCCGAGCCCCCCCAAACCGCCTCCAAATCACCCTAAACTGCCCCCAAAGCACCCCCAAACACCCCCAAACCCCCCCAAAGTGCCCCCAGAGCCCCCTCCCCACCCCCAAACCCCCCCAAAGTGCCCCCAGAGCCCCCTCCTCACCCCCAACCCCCCTTCCCCACCTTCCTCTCCCTCCGCTGCATCCGGGGGGGCCCCGCATCCCCTCGGGGGGGCTCTGGTGGGGGTGGGGCACAGCCCCCTGCCCCCCCCCCCGTGCCCTGACCCCTCCCCCACGCCCCCTGCCCCCCCCCAAAGATGCTGAACCTGTTCGTGGCCGTGATCATGGACAACTTCGAGTACCTGACCCGCGACTCCTCCATCCTGGGCCCGCATCACCTGGACGAGTACGTGCGGGTCTGGGCCGAGTACGACCCGGCCGCATGGTAAGGACCCCCGGGGGGGGACACAGGGACACTTCTGGGGGGGCTGTGACACCCCCAGACCCCGAATGGGGACAGGGACACCCCCCGAGGGGGGACAGTGACACCCCCAGACCCTATGGGAACGTGCGGGTCTGGGCCTAGTACGGCCCTGCGGCCTGGTAGGGACCCCCAGGACGGGGACAAGGACACTTCTGGGGGGGACAGGGACACCCCCGGACCCCCCCCGAGGGACAGGGACAGCCTTGGGGATATGGGGACACCCCCAGATCCCAAATGGGGCACAGGGACACCCCCAGAGGGGGACAATGACACCCCCAGACCCTATGGGAACGTGCGGGTCTGGGCCGAGTGCGACCCTGTGGCCTGGTAAGGACACCCTGGGAGGGGGGACAGGGACACCCCCACAAGGGATAGGGACACTTCTAGGGGGGACAGGGACACCCCCAGATCCTGAATGGGGGACAAGGACACCCCCCGAGTGGGCAGGGACACCCCCAGAGGGGGACAATGACACCCCCAGACCCTATGGGAACGTGCGGGTCTGGGCCTAGTACGGCCCTGCGGCCTGGTAAGGATCCCCGGGGAGGGTGGGACAGGGACACCCCCACAGGGGACAGCCCTGGGGGTGGCAGTGACACCCCCGGACCCCCCCAGTGGGGCAGTGACAACCCCCAGACCCCTCCCAGGGGAGGGGTCACCCCCCTTCTGCCCCCAAATGCCTGAGGGGGGCAGCGGGGCCTGTGGGGAGGGGGCAGAAAAGGTGACCCCAAGACCCCCCCCCCGAATCCTCTGGGCCCCCCCCACGCCATCCATGGGGGGTCCTGGGGGTCTCTATTGCCCCTGGGGGGTGGAGGGGTCTGGGGGTGACCAAATCACTTTGGGGGGGGGTCCTGGGGGTTTCTATCGCCCCCTCCCCACCCCGAGAGGGTCCCCAAACCTCCCTGTGGGGGGGGGTCCCATTCCCCATTAATGCCCCTTTCCCGCAGAGCCCCCCGGTCCAGAGGGGTCTTGGGGGGTGTCCTGATTTCCGGGGGTGTGTCCCGGTTTTTGGGGGTGGTCCCGGGGTGTGTCCCGGTTTTTGGGGGGGGGTCCCGGTTTTTTTGGGGGGGGGTCCATCCCCCCCACTAACGTGTGTCTCTTGCAGCGGGCGCATCCACTACCGGGACATGTACAGTTGTGGGAGGGGGGGGGGGGTCCCGGTTTTGGGGAGGTGTCCCGGTTTTGGTGGGGGTACCCCAGGTCCGGGGGGGTGTCCCCGGTTTTCGGGGGGGGGGTCCAGCCCCCCCACTAACGTGTGTCTCTTGCAGCGGGCGCATCCACTACCGGGACATGTACAGTTTGTTGCGCGTGATCTCCCCCCCCCTGGGGCTGGGCAAGAAATGCCCCCATAGGGTGGCCTGCAAGGTTCGCCCCCCACCCCCCCAAAATAAAAAAACCCCCCCAAAAAAAAACCAAAAACCCCCCAAATCCCCACCCCGGGGCTGGAATGCGCTTCCCGGCGCCGGATATACATCATATATATGGAATAAATATATATATCATGTATATGGTCACACAGCCCCCCCCCGGCATGGAGACCCCACCCCGGCTTCCCGCGGCCCCCCCGGCATGGGGCACCCCCCAAAAAACCCCCCCAAACCAGCGCGGGTGGGGCCAGAAGGGGAAATTCTGCTTTGCCTTGGTTTGGGTTTTGTGGTTTTTTTGGTCATTGGTTGAATGGTTCTGTTGGTTTTGGTCATTAATTATTAATGTTTATTCATTATCGATATTAATTTGAATTATTTATATTAATTTTAATTATTTATATTAGTTTTAATTATTTAATTATTATTTATTACGTTATTATTTGGTACTATTTATTTTTTTATTATTTCATTTTAAATGATTTTGTAATGTATTATTTTCTTTTGAATTATTATTTTAAATTATTTATTTATTTATTTATTTATTATTTACTATTAACGATTCTTATTAATAAATTATTTATCATTATCTGTTTGTTTTTAAATTTTTTAAAAATTATGCCCATTTCTTTTAATTTGCAATTTATTTCCCTTTCTTGTTGCTTTTTTTAAATTTACAATTTAATTTGTTTTTTAATTTAATATTGGTTTGGGGGTTTTTTTTAATTGCAATTTAATTTTTTAAATTGATTTTCTTAAATTTCCAATTTGATTTTTTACATTTCCAACTTAATTCCTTTTTTAATTTAATTTTTTCCATTTTCCGATTTCTTTTTTTTTTCATTTCCCATTTAATTTCTTTTTAAAATTTAATTTCTTTTTTAATTTTTTTTTTTTTCATTTCCAGTTTAATTTCTTCTTTAAATTTGATTTCTTTTTTACTTTAATTTTTTTTAATTTCCAAATATTTTTTTAAAATTTCCAACCTATTTTTTTATTAAAATTTTTAATTCCATTTTTTTGATTTCCATTTTTAAAATTAGTATTGCTATTATTATTATTACTATTATTATTATTACTGTTATTATTATTACTGTTATTATTACTAATCATTATTATAAGAATTTTTATTATATTTTATTTTTATTATTATATCTATTATTATATTTATTATTTTTATTTTTACTTTTATTTTTATTATTATATTTCTTTATTATTATATTTATTATATTTATTTTTAAAATTATTATTCTTGCATTTATTATTATTATTTATTTTATTATTATATTTATTTTTAAATTATTATTCTTGCATTTATTATTATTATTTATTTTATTATTACATTTATTTTTAAATTATTATTATTGCATTTATTATTATTTATTTATTTTATTATTATATTTATTTTTAATTATTATTATTGCATTTATTATTATTTATTTTATTATTACATTTATTTTTAAATTATTATTATTGCATTTATTATTATTATTTATTTTATTATTATATTTATTTTTAAATTATTATTATTGAATTTATTATTATCATTTATTTTATTATTATTTTTTTTAATGATTAAATTATCATCATTTAAATTCAAATTATCATTATTTCAACACCCCCCCCCCACCCTTAAATTTTTTTTATTTTTTTTTAATTTTATTTTTCCTCCTCTCAAAAGAATTTCTTCTTCCTCCTCCTCCTGCTCCTCCTCCTCCTCCTCCTCGTCCTGCGCTGTCCCCCCCCGCTGTGGCCCCGGCCCGCTGTAACCCCCCCCCGGTGTGTCCCCCCCCCTCTCTCGCCCCCAGGGGCCGCCTGACCCTCGCGGACATGTACGAAATGCTGCGGCACATGTCGCCGCCGCTGGGGCTGGGCACCAGCTGCCCCCCCCGCGTGGCCTATAAGGTAGAATAACCCCCCCCCCCGGGGGTGCCCCCCCCAGCCCCGGCCCCATTTTGGGGGAATTTGGGCGTTTTTTGGGGTTTTTTTTTGGTTTTTTTTTGTTTTTTTTTTTTTTTTTTTTGGTGTTTTTTTTTTTTTTCTCCCTCCTGCGGCCGCCGGCCCCTGCTGAGCCCCCCCCCGGATGGGCTGGGTAAGATGCGCCCCCCCCCCCCTCCGCCCCCCAAAAACCACGCATCAGGACCCCCCCCCTTCCCCCCAAAACCAACCCCAAAAGGGGTTTTGGGGTCCCCCCAAAGGGTCAGCTGGACCCCCCCTCATAAAGGACCCCCGAGATTTCATTTTGGGGTCTCCGGGAAGGGACCAATGAGAGCCCCCCCCCAGCCCCAATTTGGGGGGTCCTGAAAGGGATCAGTGACCCCCCCACAGTCCCAAATTGGGGGGTCCTGAAAGGGATCAGTGACCCCCCCATAGCCCCAAATGGGGGGTCCTGAAAGGGGTCAGTGACCCCCCCGCAAAGCCCCCAATTTGGGGTCTCCAGGAAGGGACCAATGAGAGCCCCCCCAGCCCCAAATTGGGGGGTCCTGAAAGGGATCAGTGACCCCCCCAAAGTCCCAAATTGGGGGGTCCCGAAAGGGGTCAGTGACCCCCCCGCAAAGCCCCAATTTTGGGGTCTCCAGGAAGGGACCAATGAGAGCCCCCCCAGCCCCAATTTGGGGGGTCCCCCCAAAGGGCTCAGACTCCCCCCACGAGCCCCAATTTGGGGTCCCTTGTGTGGCTCAGCGCCCCCCCCCCCCCCAGCCCAATTTCCGCCCCCCCCAAATTTCTCCTTTTGAGCCCCCCCCAAAGGGCTCCCCAGCCCCAATTTGGGGTCCGCACCCCCCCCATATCCGGGGTCCCGCCATTTTTAGGGACCCCCCCCCCCCACCTCTCCCAGCCCCACCCCCTCCCCCCTCAGTGAGCCCCCCCCCGGCCCCTCCCCCCCCGGCTGCTGCACGGCCCCTCCCCCTCCCCCCCCCCAACCGCGGGGGCTCCGCAGCTGCATCGTGGGGTGGGGGAGGGCGGTCCTGCATCTTGAGGGGGGGGGTCGGGGGTCGGGCATGGGAGGGGGGGGGGAGGGGTCCGTGCCTCAGTTTCCCCCCCCTCCCCCCCCCCCCCCCCTTTGGCATCGCTCGCTCTGCACCCCCCGCCCCTCCCCCCGCGGGGCTGCATGTGGGGGGTGGGGGGGGGTGTGGGGGGGGGAGGGGCCGCTGTTTTTTGGGGAGGGGCTGAGGGGGAGGGGGCGCGCGGGGCTGAGGCCTGGCAAAATCTTCCCCTCCCCCCCCCGCACGTGTGTGACCCCCCCCCCCCCCATAAAAATGCCGGATTGCACCAAAAACCCCCCAAAAAAAATCCCCGGAATGGGACTGGGAATGAGCCCCCCCCCCCTCCGCTGCATGAGCTGCATGCGCCGCCCCCGCCCCCCCAAAAAAAAAAAAATTTTGGGGGTCCCGCTTGGCCGTGCCCCCCCCCCACCACCCCCCCCCCCCAAAAAATTAATGGGGAGAAGGCGGGAGGCCGGGGGGAGGGGGGCGGGGTCGTGCCTCAGTTTCCCCGCCCACTGGGCGGGGCCGCCCCCGCCTTCTCACCAGCCCCTCCCCCTCGGGATGGGGGGGTTGGGGGGGGTGCCGGCTGACTCCCCCCCCCCCAAATTTGGGGTGTCCCCCCCCCCCAACAGCGGCTGCTCCGCATGGACCTGCCGTGGCCGATGACAACACGGTGCACTTCAACTCCACCCTGATGGCCCTGATCCGAACAGCCCTGGACATCAAGATCGCCAAAGGCACGGGCAGGGGACACGGGGGGACACGGGGGGACATGGGGGGACATGGGGGATATGGGGGACATGGGGGATATGGGGGACATGGGGGACATGGGGGGACATGGGGGACACAGGGGGACATGGGGGACACTGGGGACATGGGGGACATGGGGACACCAGGGGACATGGGGACATCATGGGGACATGGGGGACATGGGGGACATGGGGGGCATGGGGACACTGGGGACATGGGGGACATGGGGACACCAAGGGGACATGGGGGGGCATGGGGACATGGGGACATGGGGACACTGGGGACATGGACATTGGGGGATATGGAGATATGGGGGACATGGAGACATTGGGGACACCAGGGGATATGGGGGACATGGGGGGTACAGGGGATATGGGGGGACATGGGGACACTGGGGACATGGGGGGATATGGGAGATATGGTGGGGGCATGGGGACAACCAGGGGATATGGGGACATCATGGGGACATGGGGGACCTGGGGGGACATGGGGGGGCACTGAGGACATGGGGGGACATGGGGGGACATGAAGGGACACTGAGGACTTGGGGATATTGGGGGACACTGGGGACATGGGGGACACTGGAGGGATATGGGGACACCAGGGGGCAAGAGGGGGACATGGGGGGGGGGACAAGAGACATGGACAGCATAAAGGGACACGAGGACACGGGGGACACCAGGAGACACGG